AAAAAGCAAAAAAAATCCTTTTCAGCTTTCCATCCCTTTGCCTTCCCTGTTCCTTCTGAATATTACTTTTTTTTTTTTTTTTTCCCAAGCTTGCATCCTTGCTGTAGTTTTTAGGAATGCCTTGAAACAGACTCTGCTGCAGTTTGCTCTGCAGTTCTGCAGTATCCATTTACCATTGCTGTCTGGACCACTTCCAGTACCAGAGTGGAGCATTGCAGATCTGAGTGCTGCGCTCCCTGGCCTGGGGATTCCAGAAGCAGGGCAGTCGGTTTGTTTGAGTGCATGTGCAGGGTGAGGCCTAGTGCTGCAGATACGCAGACTCCTCTTTTATCTGCCATCAAGAATGGCCTTGCATTTCAGCAGCTCCCTTCCCTGCTCTTTTGTGGTTCTAGTTTGTGATGTCTAGTCTGAAGAGATTGTTGCAGTGGAGTTCTTACAATTCTTCATGATTTTGACCAAAGAAGTGGAAATGTCTTGAACACGTGTGGTTGCAAAAGCCAAGAGCCTTGTACGGTTGTGTTGATGGACCAAATCACAGCCACCTGTAGGGTCTGCACGCTCTCCTACAGGTACAAGTCTAGCCCCACTTGCTTGTTTTTGGAATGGTAAAAGGTGCAGGAAGAAAGTAAGCTATTGCTTCTGTGAGGTCCCTTCATGTTAATTAATCCCTTGGTTTTTGTTCCAGGCCTACGGGGGTGCCTATGATGTGATGAGTTCAAAGCATTTAAGAGGAGATGCGAACTATGCCTGGCCTACTGCAGAAGTGGCAGTGATGGGTGCCAAGGTGAATAAACGCAGGCTGACTCTCATGCTGGCGTGCAGCAGCCATCACAGTCTTTACAGTGGCAGCTTTGCCAGATGAAGACTGTCTTCTCTGAAACAACTTACCTGTGTGCACACGGGGGAGCAGGGAGGAAGCTGGTAAAGCAGACAGGTTCCTGCTGTGTGGGCTGAAGACTTTCACTTACCTGTGAACTTTATCTTTCTAGGGGGCTGTCCAGATCATTTTCAGAGGAAAAGAGACAGATGCAGAGGCAGAATATGTGGAAAAATTTGCAAACCCCTTTCCTGCAGCCATGAGAGGTATCGTTATGTTACACATTGTGTCCCTTGTTTTGAGTTTGACACTGCATGTAGATAAATGTGTAGCTACTGAGTAAACGTTTTGCTAGGAAGTTACTTAGGCAAGAGGTACCATAACTTGTGCCTGAGAAGGAAAGCCACATCTAGACCAAAAACACATCCAAAAGGCTTCTTATGGGAAGAAACTGGTGAGATATAGGGACTGCACTGAAAACCTTACTTCCAATTTTGTAGGCAATAGAAGCACCAGGAAACGCAAGACTGTTAGTTAAAAATTACAGGTGCTTTGACAATTTACTTGATGGTTCTAGATGCAGATCAGTAGCCTTAAGAAATGGTCACAGTCCAATTCAGTGATGAAGTCCAGGACTCCTTGGGATGATTTTTCCTGGTTTTCTTTCAAAAGAATTTTTACTTCTAGCTTCACAGCATTAACTGTGCTCTGGAAGGCACTTCTGTAGACTCTGTAGTCAGCTCTACATATTTTCAGTTATGCTGGCTTACTCTATTGGTTTTGTAATACATTTAATTCCTGTAAATAATGCCATAGAGCTGGGAAGTCTCAATCCAAGATCTTTTCCACCACAACTAATATCTACAGCATCGCTCCTTCTGGTTTTGTAGTAGACTATTATTGCTGTTTGAGCCAGAAAAAAATAGACTGATGTACATGCAAAGTTAAAGGATTCTTCTTCTAATCAACAATTCTGAACCTTTAAGTCAGACTAATTAGACTAATTAATAGTGGAATCATGGAGATGGTATGCCTGAAACTCTGCAGTAACAGGTGCAGTACTCAATAAAGTCCCTTCCCCCTAAAATTTTTTGGCTTGCTAACTTTTGCTTTTTTTTTTTTTTAAAAAAAACAAACAAACAACTGCTTCTAATTTTATAACTTGGAGTATTTCCTCTTTAGGCTATTTTTAAATTCTTAAGTTAATTTGTAACTTGTGAACTGTTTATTCAAATATTATTTTGATTTTGAAAATTTACATCACAACCTATACATAGAAGGTTGACAGGCAACCTCTTCATGGTTGGCTGTTTTTTGTTTGCTTTTACAGGGTTTGTTGATGATATCATCCAGCCTTCAACCACCCGCACGCGCATCTGCCGTGACCTTGATGTGCTGGCTAGTAAAACACAGTCCAGTCCCTGGAAGAAACATGCTAATATCCCACTGTGAGTGTAAGGAGGGACTTGGCCATGCTGGAAGACATGGCAGTATTCTGAATACAAATACTTTATGTTTATGTGGCTTTCTACCTTGCAATAGAAGTATTTTACTTTGATTTTGCTAATGATCATCAATAAATCATAGTACGTATCTCATTTAATTTGGGATCTTACTGGTTCATCTTTGTAAACCATTTTTTTGCATAACCCGCAATGCCTGCTGCAGACAAGCTGTTACTAATTGTTTAAGGTTGAATGCTTCTTTGGGCCCTTGAGGTGACTCAGTCAGGCAGAGTTGCAGTGACCTCTCGCTGCTGAAACATCAGACATCTTTGCAGTTAAAGCACAGCCCTGGATCTGCACCCTTGGAATCTGACTACTCGCTGCACCGTGGATTAACAGAGAAGAAATCCTTGGCTTGGATTTTGGTGCACTGGAATCCAAGCTTTGCAGATCTCAGGCTAAGCTGTTCTGTTCCTCTGTTAGACTTTCCCAAGTTGTAGATTTTACTTCCTGGCTGAAGCAGTGCTAGGTCCCAGGTTGGAATCAAGTTGTACCCACGCTGTGGGGGCACAGGTGGTATAGGGAAGATGGTGCCAGATTCCCCTTGAAGAACACAAGACAATTTGTCCAAACTGAAAAAAAGGGACATTCCAATGGGGGACACAATTTTTTTCCCCTCAACAGGGGTCGAGATAGAAACCTCCAGTGGTGCCTTCCAGCGTAATTTTTTCCTATGATTATTTGCCAGACTTGCAAGGAACCCCTCCAGTAGATGTGCAGGCTGAGCACAGCCCAGTAACATTAGGAGCTGCATTGTAAGTATAGCCCCAGAAACTAGTGAGTAACGGCTACTATCATGTTTAGCGCTACTGCAAACACATGCCAAGCGTGTGAAGTCCTGTAATGACCTGTCTGTTGTGAACAACTTCAGTAATTAACAGTACAATGTTATAAGGTAGAGAACTACTACACCTGCACATCACAGCTGCTCCTGTTCACTCCCCAAGCACGTGAAGTGGAAGAAAGAGATAAGATGGCAACTTTCCAGGGAGCATCTCTTCCCAGGTAGGTGCAGGCTGGTGTCCTGGTGGCTTCAGCCATGGAGCCTGCAGATCATACCCACAAAAAACAAACAAAACAAAACAAAAAAAAACACTGAAAAGACAGTACAGAAGGACTGTTTCAAGTATGATCCCAGCTTTGTAATAACTGGAGGCAATGTATTCAGGTTACAGCTATACTGTCCTGGCCGCGAACACACCGAAGCTGCATGAATGTACCTGGTTGCACCTCAGCACTGCCTGCTCCTAGGGCCCTGGGAAACAGCTTGCTGCAACAATAAGGCAAGGTAAGCTGAAATGTAGATATGGGGGTGTGTCCCTGCAATGAAGTGAGTTCTTTTATTGTGAGAAATGGTTTAATGTAGAGTTTGTAAGAGTTAATCAGGAAGGAATAAGAGAATTTTTCAAAGCTAATCAGTAGCTGTCCCAAGTCTAGAGGCAATAGTTATGTCAGCAAAATAATATGCACGTAGTTTTTTCAGTTTGACCAGAGTGAGGAGACACTAAATGAGATCCCGCAACTGTTATGTCACAAAGAAAAAAGCATAACCAACTGTTCTTGTTTCCTAACCTTTGTTAAGTAGACTTCATCCTCTCTTCTACCCCTTGCCACCACAAGAATTTGGCTTGTATATCCTGTTGATTTCCACGCACTCAGTTGCTCTACCTGCACAGTGCTTTGGAAACACACTGGAAAGCTGATCTGGCCATGCTATCCAAGCTTCTCTTGAATTCCAGTCCCCTGCAGAAACAAAAGATATAAAAATCCTTTCAACAAACAGAAGTCCTTGAACTTAGAAGCATGGCAAGCAACTTACTGTGTTCCGTTTTGCATCAGGAGTTACGCATAACTTAGAAGCAGTCGAAGAGTCAGCGTTCAGGCTGTGTCTCTGTAGACCCAGAATGCAGTTCAGACCATGAATCCTTCTGAAAAGACAGTACTGTCTTTTCCTTGAATCCCCCATTCCTCACCTGCTGGATCTTGTTACTTTTTCTGTCTCAGATGATTTTTCTTTGGGAGGCATGCCAGATGACAAGTAAATCACTTTTCTTTAGCACTACAAAGATGAAATCATTCATGGGTTGGACAAAAATAGCACTTCTTTCTCTGAGACATGGGAATAACAAAAAGCATTTAATTTAGTGAACCTGCAAAATTTCCTTTGGCCCAGTTGATGGTTAGCTCTTCCAGGCCTTAACCACATCTGTTTCTTTCTACATGGTCCAGATCATTTGAGACATACATGACAGGAGAAAATTTTTTCTCAAACTTTGTGACATTTTAAACATTAGATGCTTTACAGTATGGCAAAGACAGAGAACACTCAGACTTTTCTACAGTGCACCTCTCCCAAATTGTGTGATGAGCTACCAAATTTACAACACTCCCACAATAAAACCCCCAAGATCAACCAAAAAACAAAAATATACTGCAGCAGAGAAAAACTTAAAAAGAACAGACAGGGTTTTCCTTTTCTTTTAGGCTGATCGGCTAAGGTAGGTGTAAGAAATTTGATTGTGAAGCCTATATTACATGAGAACTATCTTCCAGTATTTCATCTGGTTACTAATAATATATTATAATAATATATTAATAATAATACTAATACCTGGGATGACAGGATGTGAAGGCCCAAAGCAGTATTTAAAAAGTTGTAGTGAACAGGGTGCTCATCATACTCATGATTTTGAATAGTTTATTAAATGAAAGGTGAAGCATCAGTTTTAAATTGTACAAAAGGAAAAAAAAAAACCTCATATTGTAAATGTACAATTTACAGAATTACTAGCAAAACCAATCAAGGAGACACTCATAATACAAAAACCTATTGACTGCAAACTGAACTGGAAACCCATTGCAGGTACCGTGATAATAAATGTTTGTTATACAGTATTCTACAATGTTAAATTAGGAATCAGTTTTCCACACAGAGGACTGTGAAGCACAAGGTTCGTCTGAGACTATGACTCAAACCGGGCAGCATTTATTATGCTACTATGCTCACAGAGTTATCGTGATGACAATTTAATGCAGCCATTCCTACCCACCCCTATTACCTTTGGGATGGACAGAAGAGAAAGGGAGGTAATGTTATTTTATTAAGTTTCAGCCACTTCTCATGTTTTATACATTACCCAACCGATTTCAGAGGAATGGCTGAATTACCTAGTCAAACATTTTTGGCAACATTTTTTTCTGTCTGAGAACTGCACATGTTGTAAAAAAAAACAAACCTCAGCTTTGTGAAATGCTGGTTTGTTTTTAGATTCTTTTCCCTCCCAGCAAGTAAGCACTGGGTATTAATGTTGTTTTGTTTTTAAATAAGCTTGTAAAACAAAAAAAGCTCCATGATTATTTTGCTGTTGCTAAAAAAAAAAAAAAAAAAAAAGCACCTCTAAAACTGCTGTGCTCCAAGTGGGTCAATCTGCTTTGTATCTCAAATGCTAACATTATAATGCAGAAAGGAAGATTAACATTTTGGGGCTGATTCTTAGAGATACTAGAGTCAGTGCAAGTTGTGGATGGCCAGCACCTCTGATATCAGGCCAGTATTAACTAAGTAGCAGCTACTAGGCAGAGTCATAAAATCGAAGCATAATGAAATTCCAAATTATTGAAGACATTGAAAAATCTCTTATTACAATGAATTAGCTGAGAATGTTTTGGGTTTTTGTGTTTTTTTTTTTTTTGACTTTTTTACTTTTTTGAAAAATCGTATTTTTTTCAAATAATTACTCTCAATATGCACAGTTAACACTGAAAATGTAGCTGTATTCCATTGTAAGCTTAAGAACTTCACCATCTAAGCACAAATTTCTATGCAGCACATACAGTACTTCTAACTGGCAAAATTAATTTACAAAAATAGCGCAAAAGGGTATTTACGGCATGGAAAGTAGACTTTTTTATGGTACAGTTAAAATTGCTTTTAGTATGCTAAAGTGATTCCTTTTCCCCACCCTTGAATTATTGTTTTGCTTTGTTTTGTTTTTTTAAATAGGAAAGTTGCTGTTTATGTACCTTGGACTGGCAGGGCTTGAAGTAGGTAGTAAAAACAGCAAAGTGATTACTTGAGAACCATTTGTGTGTTTTACTGAGAATACTTTATTTGCTGGTATAAGTTGCTAAAAATGCACAGAGCAAGTACCAATAGAAAATTTACTGTTTTTGTGTCCCCATGTGCTATATAAAATGAATGTTACACAGCATCTGTTGGAAAAGTGGCTTCATGGACATCTCTTACTTTATGTCCCATTATAAATAAAAATAAATCTTCTCAAGAGTATAAAATCTGGGTTTATCATATCAGAATCTGAAATTTTTTGGCAGAGATGCACGTCATTAGAATTCTAACCTCTTCTATAAGAGTGTTCTTCTCAATGCCTATGAGAGGACATAAGCGTACCATAATGTTAATCAAATCCAGTGTGTTCAAAAACACTTTTCTGTAGCCAGAATGACCTGCTTATAGCATCATTGCTAGTCAATGGCTGATAGGCATAGGTTTAATAAAAATGGCTAGCTTTTAAAACATAAAAAGGCAAATGTTAAAACTGTTTTAAATTGTACAGCAGAAAAATAAAGGTAAAAAGTTCTGTTTTCACTCAATGTTGTTTTCAGAAAACATATGTAGAACAGTGTTTATTTTGACAGCTGTCTTAACAATTTAAAACTTCTTCCTCATCCAGAAAAAAAAAAATCTGTATTAGGACAGTCAAGAACAGGGATACAAATGATTTTTTAGGTCAGCCTTTCTGAGGTGACTGGATTGGCCAACATTCCTTTGTGTCATTAAGAAGTTCCTCTTCTTTCTGTCACTACAAAAAGGGATTGACCTTAATCATTTGGTTAAAAATCAAACCGTATCACATCAAAAATGTGGTTTTCATACAAGCTATCACAGTATATAGGCCTCTAGCTCTAAACAATAGAGTTCCAAATTTGTAAAATGTCTTCAGCAGACTTCAGAACATAGGCATTCCAAATCCCTAGAAAAATGATTTAAGAGACAGTAATTAATTAAGTGCAGCAGTAATCATAAAAGAACCTCAGATAAACAGCAAGTACTAGTAAAGTCTTACTGAATCATCCTCAATGATAGCTGCGGAGTCAAAGAAGTCTGGCCTCAGTTCAGCCCGTTCTCGTCGGTTTCTTGAAGGTGGCTAAAGAGGTGAGTCAGACATTTTAGTACATGCGATCAGTTAACTGGCTATAAAGGACTCCTGTGGCTAACAGCTAACAGGCACTAATGTCTTTACCTGCTCCTTTAAAAAATAGTTATGCATGGATTTCCATAAAAGCTCAGATACAAATATAGGCTCTGACACTTGAGAGTACTTCTTAAATTCACATTTTATTTAAGGAATGGGCTAAAAGCTGCTGGATACTAAAGTAGGTTTAAGACCATCCTCATGGCTAAGGACTTGCATATGGCCCTTGCTGACTTAACGGTGTTCTTGTATTAAGACTATGTGCCAGACTGCACAGAAACTGTCTGCTTTATGCTTTTACATTTATGATGAAATCCCAGCTCTGACATGGTCAGAAAGTGGATTTTTTTAAACATTCCTTATGATGTTAGAATATTTCTGAGGACTGACCTGTGTTGTCCTGCCATAGAAATGTTAAGAATAAATGTGACCTGCACTGGCTTGAACAATTCCTTCATTTCCTTTCCATGGATTGCCACTTAAAGAAAGACTTAACTTACTTGATAATCATTTGAATGCTAGTAATAATCTCAGCAACTGAATTATTGCCTACATTTTCTTTCCAAGATATTATAGCCTAATCCTAAAATAACTACGCCTTATAATTCGGATACTAAAGGAGAAATATGAAAGCATAAAAACTAGTGAGGTGTATAATGCAAACTGATCCTCCTTCCCATTTTACAAGGAAAGAATTCATTCAGTAGACAGAGGCTATAGCAAGGTGATGGTCTTTGCAAACACAATCCTGCCTTTAGTCAGTCACATTACCACAAAAAGAGCCGAAGTTGCAATCTCATGATGCCACCTAGTTAGGAGCAATACCAGTAGCGTAAGGTACTCCCTCAGTGCCTATCCACTACAGTTTTCTCCCTTCTGCTGTGCCAGCACAACTCTATGCAGCTGTAAACTGGATGACACCATGATTAAGGACCCCTATCCACCCTACCTCCCAGAAAACAAACAAACTAAAGAACAGAAACAACTCTGTGATCACAGTGAGGTTTCATAAAGACCTGTCAGCAAGAGAGTTAGTGATGCCTGTGACAATGGCACAGGGAACAAAACACCACCCAGGATAACTTTGGATTATAAATTTCTAAACTCTTCATAATGTCAAGCAACAGCCTGAGTCAAAAGTTGTTACTGGATCCTTTTGCACTCTGTGATGCTGAGCAGGCAGCTTTGTGTGATGTTCAATCAGATGGGGTGTGCTGGTCTCACCTCTTTTCTCCACCAGCACTCCCTCTGCCCTTTAGTGGATCTAGCACTTGGCTGACTGCAGAGCAAGTCAGCTCAGCTCTTCCTTTAGCACTCACCTGAGAGGTGTGATCTGCACTGATACAACTGATACACTATAATTCACAACCAAATTCTCATAGGGTGACAAGTTAAAGGTGAATGAGTGCTTCAGGCACTTGCTACAGCCTTAATCTAGAACATCATGAAGAGTGCTAAGCAATGCTTCTTGTATTTCTATGAAAAAACATCAATTGTGCCTGAATCTGCAGTTTTAGGTTCCATGGAATATTCAGATAATTTTCACTTTTTAATGCTCAGATAACAAGAAATTAGGCTCAAATTTTGGACCTTTTTGTTTACACCTAAAAATGCCTTTTAAATTATCTTTCAACCATCTTAAACCTGCTATTAATAAGATTTACTGACCAGATCAATGACCATTGTGTCCTCAAATTCCTCATTCATGTCCTCTAGCTGACCTCGTGAAGACATCATTACATCTTCAAAGATGGGCTCAGCGTCATCTTCCATTAGACCTCGTCTGTTTAATAAAGAGAAAGAAATCATTTTCAAGCATTTAATTTCCCAACCATGAATTTTCTCATTAAGAACAATGCTCAAATCCTATCCCTTAATATCTTCACATAAAATCAAATGTTAAGAATCAAGCCAGCATATTTTCTTAATATTAGCTTGAAGAAAATCTTATGTAAAAACAAACCTAGCACTTGCAGAGGCAAAAGCAAGAAGTCTAGTGTAGTATCATTATAAACAGTAATTAAAACTGTCCTTAACAAGAAAAAGGCAATAACCTCACTGTGTTTGCTTGCCCTTTTACAAAAAGGAGTTAATGCTGTTTGTCAAGATCACTGGTAAATGCCTGGGAATCCACCATGGAATCCCAAACCAGTTTAAATGCCGTAAGGACTTGATCTTGCACGAGACTCTGTCCCCCATCCTGAAGAGCACTGATATGCTGGAAGACTTGGTTAGATCAGCACCAGAGCACGGAGCACTTTGCACAACAGAACGCTTCAGCATTCGCCCATGTGTATCCCAGTGGGATGCCTTGGTAAAAGATGATGTAGATAAAAGAAGCTTAAACAGGTTCACGGGAAGACTGGACAACAACTTAGAAGAAAAATTCACTGCAAATTACTTAAGAGACATAACAGCATTTCATGGAAACTGCCTCAAAATAGTTGAAGGCTGGCAGAGAATTATGGAAGATTGTTCCGCACATTTGCCCTGTTCACCAGGCACCTGCTCACAGCCATGTTTAGAGGAAGGACACAGGGCTAGAGGGGCCATATGGCCCTGTACCCATCCCAACATGACAAAGCTGTTACTCTGCCTTTATTAAGGAGAGTTAAATGTCACAGAAATTACTAGCAACAACCCAGAAAAGGTAACATTGAAATGCAACTTTGGCACCTAAAATGAATCTGAGCTGGAGATGAGGATGCTCTGAACACACTTACACTGCATGCCTTACACCAGTTCTCCCTTTCATGTAGTTCATTCCTGTCCTGTCCTTTCGATTTAAATCTTCTAGCTTCTGTTGGCCCAACCAAGATATCTGCATCTGGGGACTAACAAACATAAAGCAGCATTATGACTGAGAACACTAACAATTTTGAGTTGGCTATGTTTAGACAATATCTCCTCAGGTTTTGTGTCTGGGTGTTTCTGATTAAGATATTTAAATCACATCCATCATTGTACAAGTCTTCTGGATTCCCTTCTGCAATTTGTCTCCTCCCACTGCATGTGCACAAAAAAAATCCATTAATTGTTGTAATAAAAACAGCTACATAAAATGCTAACATTACTCATTTATTAATGTGGCATGCACCTGAAATGGGAGTACTTCTAAAATTCATTAAATCCTGCTTCACTGCCTCAGATCAGGCAAAATATGAGTCAGAATAGATCCAAATTAATAATTGACACACATTTTAAGACAAAAATGTCACACAAAGTGAAAAACAAATTGCTTTTAAATATTTAGTCCCCATCAACTTCAGCATCTAGTAACTTACCCACATGTAAATGCTGAAAGGCTGTACTTAACACCAACTCAATCCAGCAGTAGACAGCAATATATTTGGTATGTTTTGTGTGTTGCAGCGCAAAGAGACAGTAGGAAAAGAAGTGCAGCTCTTCAAGAGCAACACCAGTTTTTAATGATGTAATCTCAGACTGCAGTGAGCATATTTTTGACCCTCATTTTTCATAGAATCATAAAATCATTTAGGCTGGAAAAGACCGTAACCATCACATTGAGTTCAACCATCATTTTAAAAGCAGCATTAGATGCCTATGTACAGCAGGTAAGCATAACTAATTTTAAGTGATTTTTTCCTACAGAACGCACAGCATCCTTGGGCTCAGTTCACAAGGGTCATCGTGATCCAGCTGTAAGGTATCTTGGGACTCATGTGAGAGCATGTTAAGTGGTAAGCTAAGGTGATCTATAGGATGTGTGGGGAAGACAAACTAAAGGCAGGCTGAAAGGAAACACTTCCTCCCCTCTCCTTTAGTTCACATTGTCAACTTGCATGTGGAATCCAGCTCTTTGAAAAAAAAACAGAGGAGAGTGATGCTCAATATTACTCTGCTTGCAGCATTCATCTGAGATAGGAGAAACAGGGGTTTGAGCCCCAGGTGAAAAGCGTGGCTCAGCTCCCCCCCAGAAATAAGGTTCTCCCACATCTTACGGCGGGTCCTGCTCATCAGGCTCAGGAGGGTGAAACATGGTGAGTGAGTGGAAGCTGTCCCACTTTCCCTAAATGATTAAATATTCACAGAGAGAGACTTAGCTTAGTGTGCAGCACACCAAGGTTAGATCAGGGAGGGTCAGGAAAAAGGCTCTCACTTCATCAATTACTTTTTGTTTTTACTGCAGATTAGAAAAAAAGGAGAAACTGAGAACCACAAAGTCTTCCTTCTAACCTAGAAGTTACGGCAACATCTGGGGAGGCAAATCCTTGGCTGCGGGAAGGCAAGCAAGAGACATGAACCCAGGTCACACATGCCATAGGAGTAAGGTGAAAAGATACTATAGGGGGGTCTGACTTAACAGGGGTTCTTCCTCAGCTGTGCTTTCTTTGTGGCCAGCTGGAGTTTTCTGCCAGACTGAACTGTAGAGGTGAGAAAATAAAATCCATGCCCCCACTTGCCTTGCACCTTTATGTGCCAACCCTCGTTCCTTCCAGGGAGCACCAGCTGGGAAAACTTGAGCCCATGTCCTTCACACAGGACCATGCAAGTCCCTGCTGCAGCGTGAAGCAGCCCAGAAATCCTCCCACCCTACCTCACTCTGTCTTGTGGTGGTCACATGCTTAGTATGGGGAAAGAAAGGTGGCTCAACTCATTTATGGAAGCAACAAATAAGTGCTCCAAAAATAAAGAGTTATTTGTAGCCAGCTGAGCTGTAAGTATCTCTTGTGCTGAGCACTGACTCAGGGATCATATCAGGGCTTCATCTGTTCTGCTGCTGCCTGCGCGTGTTGCACACACAGCCAAGGGAGACCAGGCTGTGCCTTCAAGAGGACATTTCTTTTATGTTGCTCAGATTTTACAAGCACCTATGGCCACAAGCTTTAATAGCTTGTATGTACACCACTGACACTGGAGACTGGAGGATATTTAACGTCCCAACGCATAATGACCATTGTTAATAATTATTTCTATGTAAAAAATTCTATGATTAGAGAATGTCGAATGAAGCAGTAGAACTTAGGATACAGCAGGGTGACTGCACATTTGGGAAGAACTGGGAAGCTGGTGAATACATGTCAAGAAAAACATGATGGACAGAAGTAAGAGGAAAACTATTGCCAGGTTTACTACACTACATTGGTAGAAACCTGACTCATCTGGCCAGCACAATACTGCTCTTTTATACAGATAAACCAGATCAGTAAAGTTAGTTATAAAAGTTACAAAAATAGTCTCCAAACCAGTTACTACTTTATCTTCACATTAGTAGAATTAGCAAATAATAGCATTCTCTGAAATCTTTGTTCTTAAATAAACTACTGACAGATAACCACCACCATTTTTTCCCCTCTAAATGGATTTAAATGGAGTTGACTGACAAAAATGTGTACATGATTTAGGGCCAAATAAAACTGCCTGCAAAATTGCCCAGAAGTGGAAATTACTAATTCAGTAGCTAGAGTTGGACTGAAGGGTTAATTTACAAGAAATCAGTTAAGATGTCTGGAGAACCTTAACTGTACAAGGGCAGAAGGAAAGAAAAGAGAAAATCTAACAGGTCTTTAGAGAAACAGTTCAATCCAGCCTGGGGCCACAAACACTACAAAGATTTAACCATAATCACATGGTTATGGTCTGAGATAGTTTTAACAAAGAATTTCTACCCTGATTTCATTACAACATATTTTTCCTGAGAGTTTAAAATAATAAAAGTATTGTTGAGCTATAGCCAAGACCTTTCCAGTTGTTTTTTCAGATAAACACTGTGTCTATGGAACCACAGATTATCTGTATAAGTAACAGGCCTTTGCCTGGCTGTCACTGTATTTAGTAGGGATGTTCCAACACTTACTTGTGTAAAAAATCTTGTTCAGATCCCTGCTCTGACTCGTGCTCCTGGATCTGCTCTCCCATTTGTCTAGTGTTCTCTCTCAAGACAGTTGAGGTGAGCTGTGGTGCTTGCAGTGTCCCTGGAGTATGTATGTTTTCATTCCTGTTCAGCCATGAGCCTTCTAGACTCTCATCTAGGAAAGAAACATTTAAAATTACTGATTCATTTGTGAGAATAAGCAGCGCAGTATTACTGCCTTTAGCATCCCTCCAGCAAACTCACTGAACCTTAAGTTAGTAATTAAAGCCTTCCATCTACTGACACACTTCAATACAGTTCATTTTAGTGGCAACACCTTCTGCAAATTTATGTTTTTAATAGTTTAGTATCTGTTGAAATAGTATGCCTTTAAGAGATCAACTGGATAAATACTCAAAATGATAATTTTTGTGTTATTTTAAGGAAGGATTACTACTAGTTATTCTCAGCAGTATTATTAAAAGTAGAAATATTTATCAAAACAAAACAAAAAACACAAAAACACCGCAAACAAATACTGCATTCCAGCACTGCCTACAAAGTCAGGTGCCTTGCACACATTTAGCAGATAATTCCTAAGTATTTAGCTGGTAATTTAAATATAAGACCATGAATCTCGTATGCATAAAGCAAATGACATAGTGAAACACCAAAATGAGGGAGGATAAAACCCCTAATCTGGTCAGCATACACCGTTAGAAGCTTCAGTAAGAACCATTTCAGTGAAGTACAGAGGGGACATTTTAAATAAGGAGTGGTCTGGCTGGTGTGAACTCTGAACTATGATTTCAGATAGTATATTTAGAGTTTAGAGCAGAAGGGAGAAATGGAGATGGGAAGCTGACTGAAGGTGTAAATGGGATGCAGTGCTCATATTGAGAAGGGAGCAAACCAGAGGGGAGAGTGGAGGGCCTGAGAAGGAGAGGAGCATGTGAGAGAGCAGACAAGCATGTAGGCAAGAGACATGCAGAAGTTGCTGGAGCAAGTGAAAGACAGAATTACAGGACAGGAGAAGACAAGATCACAGATTTACTAACAGAAAGAAATATGTAGTGAGATAGCAGGTGGGGATCTCAACGTATCTTTTCATTTTTTTCTATGCCTTTTACTACCCTTTAGGCTTAAAAGTTGTATAAAAGTTGCCTATTTGTCCTTGAATTTACCTTTTATAATGCTATTTCTTTTTAAATCCTATTCGTGTTTCACTTTCTTAAGGCATTGTAAAGAAATGTAAGAGCTGTCTAATACAGGGAGCAGATTGACTTTCAGTAACAACAGGGACTGTTCTCCAACCTGGACGGTCTGCTGACCCCAACAGACACTGGATTTAGGTGAAAGGAACCACGGGGTTCTAGCTCTGGTTCTTTGATACTATGATAGTTTCTGCAGTGACCAAGTCTTTGCTTTAGTTCCTTTAGAGCGGATTTTTTCTTTTTCTTTTTAGTCTTAGCAGGATTCAAAGAGAAGTCCGTATTTGTGATTTTAATGACAAATGGAAATTAAAGGTAGGACTTTTGGAAGGGTTATAAAAATACGTAAAGATAAAATAAAACAAAGACCCCTGTACATGCTGTGTACAGACCATCAGGTAATTTGTAGGCATCCAACTGTTCATAAGACTGATTCTTCACAGCTCAAGTTCTACAGACCAGAAAACAGTAAGTAGCTATTTTCTGTGAAGAGGATTACATCTCTGATTATTTCATGAGCTCATTATTTGTACACACAAAATAAACCCCTTGCATCCTCCCTGATCCTATATGCTGAGGTTGTACAGAAAAGCTTTTATGAGTAATAAAGGTCTGCATAGTGATCTGTGAATTTAAGGTCTATTAGGTTTCACATAGAAGAATGGAGAAGGGAGTCACTTCCTAAGTGGTATTCTTTAAAACACGTTATTCTTAGATGTCACACTGTAACCCAGAGCTGTATTTACAGTGCTCAAAGGACATGCACATATCCCACCCACATGAGCACTCCAGGAGAGGCAGTGTTTATCTGTCCTCTCTCTGGCCACCAATTACTAATGGGGGAATTTCAGGTTACTGTAGTGCACAGTGACACTGGAACACTGCCTAAGGTAAGATAAATCCTTGGTGTCTTCTGATGACACAGTGCTGATAAGATGTAAGCAGACCCTCATATACTCTGTAGATGTCAGACCCACAAAAAGTCTTGGCGTAGTCTGTACCACAGCTCATTGGAAACTGCTGTACATTCAGATTTTTCAGGAACCGAACAAACAGCTGAATAACCATGGATTTGGGCCTCCATTATTTTAAGTCAGTGATGTTGGTGAAAAATTCAGGACCACAGCTGTTACGAGGAAAGGTGATAGTCAAAAGGAAAGTGTTGCAAATAAACTCTTCTATTAATCACTGAAAGAAGATGGTATGAAAAGAGGTGGATCCAACAATGTCATAAAGCCTAAGCCCACGACTCGCCTTATAGGGAAGCAAGGATATTACTACACTTTCCAAGAAAAATAAGGATATTGGTAGAATAATGAAAATAATAACAGGAAGAAAGAAAAAATCTTCAGCAGCTGAGTTCTGTGAAAAACAAAGCAACCTGAAGGAAGCAAAAGAATGTCTGAAGCAAGCAGTGCTTTATTTACCTAGACTCTAGGTTGGCTGTTAGAAACTGAAAGATGTATCTCATGTACTGCTCAGCACAAGCTGCAGGGGAGAGAATGGACCTGACTGTAGGAGTGCGTACAGACCAACTTTTGAAGTCAGGTATTTTGGTAAATGGCTGTATACTCAGGAGAATTGGCTTTAGATTCTTCACTGAGGGGTTACTACAGTAGATTCCAACCTTGGAAAAATCTCTGAAGTTTAAAGATCCCACTTATACCTTACTGTACTGAAACAGTAAAAATATATTCACATAAATGTGCATGACATCCTGCGATTTCATGCAGATTAACCAGGAACAGATGCAATCTTGTAAAAAAATTAGATATCATGGCCAAATTCCTGATTAATGCTCCTCAAATCACAGAAAGAATAAATACACCAGGTATTGATATCATTTTGAACAAAAACACACATCTTTTTAGCATACTCCAATGGTCCTACAAAAATAGTGATCTGTATCTGAATTTCTGCCTTGGGTTTGCTCTAACACCCTATTAACAACTGCTTCAGGCTGAAACACGGGTAGAAAAAACAAGAATTGGTGACTGAGAAAGGTGTAGAACAGGTAGCTCTACAATCACCTCCTGTTTCCAACTTCAATAAAAGCTTTCAGTAGTTCTCAATCAGCAAATCTTAGTGTGGACAAGCAGGAATAAGGACTTGTGATGACATTTCTCATAAGGAAGTGTTTAAGCTTGCAGAACAAGCGTCTTGTTATTTCTACGTACAAAGTATAAGGAAAGCTGTAATGTATGTACAAAATGAGAAATACCTCAAGTAGGTAACATAAACCATACAAACCTTCTACTCTCTTTTTGTGTAGCGGCGGTCGCCCTTTCTTATTTCTCACCGAAGAGGCTTTGCTGCTGCTGCTTCCGCTGTTAACAGACATTCTGTCGTCTTCGCCACCCGTAACTAGTGAGTTTCTATAGGAAATTAGTGGAAGCCATACATCTTCTCTTCTTTCCATCATCTGTTCTGTCAGAAACTTCTCTAAGTAGGAGTGACTGAAAATAGAAGACAATGAGTGCAGAGGCTCAGCATGTTGCTTTCCCTGTAATTAATCTGCAAGGCCTCTTCATATTGTTGACAGCTTAACAGTAATCCCACACGGTGTTTCCTTATTTTAATTTAATAACATACATTGATAAGGCACTGTATCTTTAACTGATTAAGAATTCACATCATTCCCTCAAAACAAAGTAACACGGTTAATTGCATACAGGTTACTCAGATAAACAATACAAAACGTTCTCTCCCTGACATCTTCCTCCCACATTTGTCTGCAATCATTCACAGCACGCTTTACTTGAATTCCTTTTCTGTTTTGCATAGCAAGGAAGCCACTTCTATATATTGCTACTGTGTCAAAAGACAGACTGAATTAGAACCACTATTGTGAAGGCTCTTAGAATCGTTTGCATCTTGTAACAGGAAAAGAATGGTTTCCTTAAATGCAAGCAGTTATTTTTCATTTAAAATATTGAAGATCTGTTCCATTGCTATGGAGAAGTCCAAAACATGTATTAATTTATCAGAAGAACCAAACAACTTTCTTCTTGTATATGGCCTGGAGGGCATTTGAATTGCTTTCTTTTTCCAACGATTGTTTAGTTAAGCTTGTCCATAAAATGAGTAAGCAAATCCATATAAAATGATTCTAATGAGTTTCAAGCTACAGAACCAAGCATTCAGAAGTTAGGCAACCGAACTCAGGATACTTCAACATTACTTCTGTCTTTCAACAAATATATGACAATGTACACCTTGATTACAATCTCATTCAACACCACGTTGCCAGGTTATCATCACTTGAGAGTCAAACCCACAAGTTCAGTAAGGAAACAAATTCTTCATCTCCCTTTTGCTCTGTTAAGCTCATGACAGACTCAAACTTCTTGCGCAGTCTAGATGAAAGAATAGGACAAGGAGCCACACTATATATATATGCCTGGGTAACAAACACATCAAACTTTTTTTAATGGGATTTTGTTTCTATTTGGTGAATAGGATCACTTTACTCAAGAAACTGACATTTTTCTCTCTCTTATTCAGTACTGTGACTGCTTCCCCTTTCCATGTATACAGCCAGTAATATCCAAACCTTGGAATGAATAGGAAATTCTTGAGTTATTTGCTCTCTCTCACAGTACTGAACAGCACAACATGCGAGTGCCTCCTGATTTCACAGAACTTATCTGCAGAACTGCCTTGAAACGTAAGAAGTTTTCCTGCAACCAATTTATGTTCACACAACCTGAGTGCACAGGTTATGCCCAAACTGTAAAGAAAGACAAAGTGTACCACTTGGTCATTCTCTACTTATTTGATGCCAAACCTGAGACAACTTTTGCTCACCATTTTAGAGCAGCTTCCTATCGGCAGTTCTTACCAGCTTCAGCCACGTTAGGAACTCCAAACTTGTGGCGGTAAGAACATGTGCTGGTGGTCCAGCAGTCAGTTGTCTAGTCTAAGTTGTCTATTGGAGAGAAACATCTCCATAGGCATTTCACCTCTGTACCGTCTTAGATGAATTCCTGTGGATTTCCTTGCCTTTATCTGCCCTGCATGTTTGTAACTCTGTTAGTATTTTCCTGCTAACTGTAAGAGCCTGGCCCCTGAAATGCATAGTTTATGATATATTCATAGATTTGAATAAATCTATAAATGGCTATCACTAATTCTGGGGCTTACATATAAAAGAATTAGTCAAATAAATAAATCAGACAGCAAAACTAATTTAAACCAGTGTTACTGCCTCACCCCCAAACTGAAAAAATCTCCCATTTCTCCCCCCAAATAACAGTAACAATAAAGCAATAAACCAGGAAGTAGAAGCCTAGCCAGAGAGCAGTGTTTGCTGAACTGTGACAGGAATGGCATTTTGCACCAAGGGCAGATGGCACATGCAGACATATTGAGTAGATAATTTTAAGGAGGGGAGGCAAGCTGGAGGGCTTCTGGAAGGCAGGAGATATGCTGGTGAGACTTGCAGGGTTAGTCTAGAGCACTCTTCCCTCCAGACTAACAGCCCATTGCTGAGCTTAACTACAGTCACTTGGCAGAAGATCAAGCCAGGGAGGGAGGTAAATGATCCTGTACACAGGACTTCTCCACCAGATGGTGGTCATGCACCTTCCTGGTCGTAGGCTACCCCTTTGCAGGGAGGGGGCGAGGTCCCTCTGGATTGGAGGAGTCATTCTACAGAGAAGGGCAAATCAACTGTCCAGAGCATAGCTGGGAATGAACTGTCAGCGAAGCACTATGGGCAACGCACCCACTGCCTGATGGGTGCGAACATGACAGATGTCTCAAGGGAGGGAACGCAGAGATCCCCAGAAAACCATCTTTGCATGTAAGCAAGTAATCTTGACTCTACTCAGCCACAACAGCCAATGGATTCTAGGGCATGTCTGAACTCATCTTAAAACAGTAATTTAGAACAGATCTAAGAAATCAAGCCCTGTTTTTTGTTTTTTTTTTTTTTTTTTTTTTTTTCCATTAATCTTCAAAATGCAGTTAAAATAAATAGCTCAGATACAGATGACTACAAGAAAGTCAGATAAAATCAGGAGAAATGGTTTCCACCACAGCAATCTTTGCAGTCCTGACAAAAACGTAAGAAAAAAAATAAATGGTGATGTGGAATGCTAAGGAACGAGACTCCTTGAAACACTGAATTTCATATAAAGGATCAGGTTAATAAAGCTGTCATGCACACTGTGTACATGTAATACAAATTCAGACTTTAGACGCCAGAGAATCTTGTGGAAGGGATGACAACTGTGCAGGAAGAGTAAGCTTCAATAAATTCAGCTGGAATCAGGCTAAAGACACTTAAGCTAACAGATGCAGGAGAACCCATGCTTTGGCTAGAAAGGAAGCTGTAAAATTCTTGTACTGATAAGTCCTGTCCTGAAGAAGAAAATAGAGGGTGACAAAACTCAAGGCTATACACAATGAAGGGCAGACTGAAAAACCAAGTGCCAAGCTAGCCCAACTAGATCATCTCATTCTCAAGCTGGTTCAACCACTTCTTGTACTGTGTTTGCTGATTTGACAAATTACTTATACAATTAAATAAATTGGTTCAACTGTTTATACATTAAAATTTACACAAAGTTAACCAAGATGCATGCATTTTTTTGTAACACAGAACAAGCCCAGAGCTATAAAATTCATAATTATTAACCCCGATAGAAAGGTCCTTTAAAACAAATATCTTGACTGAAAAACTACTGAAACACTTGACAGGAAGAGCCAGTTCAGCTAGTTCTATATGGTCAGAAAATCAAGTGGAAAGATAGTTACAACCATAAATGAGAAGATCTGGCAATTATATTTTTAAATGGTTATAAAGCTCTTCAGAGAACTTGGTTCTGCACTGGGCACATAGTGCTAGGACGATGTTTGACTGCACTTTTCCTTTTTCCCTTTCTACCTCTATGCTGTGGCCAAATCCTGGCTACTTGTTACAGAACTTATTAGGAACATAGACTGTAATCTCTGCAGTGATGCTGACAACACATTTTTACTCTGAAATTGCCTTCACTAATGCAGTTTTCTTCACCAATTCTTTTAATATCCAAAGTTACCCTTGGCCGTTGTTTCAAATGTTGCTAAGCATTTCCTTCTGTTTATTCAGTTCTTATCAATAATACCTGATTTATTTCATTTTCAGGTATTTCATCTGCAGTCATTGCCTGGCATACCAAATTCAGGCTGCTTGTTTTAGCCCCTGAGATCTCTATCACCTTCCTCTGTCCCAACTAACAACAGTGCTGTTTCTCACCCTGTCTTTCTATGCTGTTGTGCCAGTAACAGAAACCTTGATGATGCTTTATTGCCCACTTTAACTCAATATATTAAATATAAACAAAAATAAATGCTTATTATTTATATAAATATCTAACAGAAAGAGATGTTACTGCAATGTTTACAGGCCTGTAAATTTTCTGTGTTACTAACAGTTCATTCCTTTTTCTGCTAGCCTGAAAAATTATTCTTTTTTATTTTCTATGCCCCATGGGAAATTTTAAAGAACATTGTTTTGTAAGTTCTAAAGCTCACCTAACAATCAATGGATTTGATTCTCCTTTTCTCATTTATTTTTATTACTTTAAAATACAAATCAATGAATAAGTATGTGAAAAGTCTCACTGGGACTTCCTGTAACCCCCAGTAGATAATGAAAATGTCAAAGCAGAGAGTTTAAACACACACTACACTGATTAACACAACTCAGCAGAACCCACAGAAGAAAGCAAGACTATTACTTACACAGTCTTTTTGTCCTGTCGCAGGAGTTTAGAAGAAAATTCACTAAGCACTTCAAGGAATGCAAGGTTAGGAGGTGGATAGTCTTGTCCTTTTTGATTCTGATATTTGAAGGCAAACTCTATTCCATCTCTGCAGTAAAGAAGTTTCAAAATTTGTAGATGTTTGTTAGAACATAAAAAAAGAAAGTCATCCCGTCACCTCCAAATGCTGCCCCAAATCCAAACTGTGATAATCCTAACGTTTTCTTTTTATTTTTTTATTTTTTTTTTCATTGCTAGCAAACAGCAGCTTTTGGATTTAAGGGGAATCAAATGCTCCCTCTGAATTTATGAGGACTCAAACTCAAGGAGAAGATATTGCCAGTTGCCTGGTTAAAAAGAACTTATCACAATGTAAGAAACTTGGCAGGTGCTGAAAGCCACTGCCTTAAGCAGGAATGGCCAGTTGACTTGCTCTTGTTTTTGCACGAAGCAGAAGCTTCAACAAGATATCAGAAATAACAAGATGAAACATATGTGTCAAGAGTCAGAGAAGAGAATTTACTTACCGGACACTGATCCATGTGTAAGTCCCTTATCTTTGCTTTATCATTTGAGATTAAATAAAACAATTTATTTTCACATTACCCAATAAAGGCAAATGCATGTCTGGACCTTTCTTCTCCTTCTCACAGTTAAGTGTCTAGCAGCATATTGATTTCCTTTCAGGTCCTGCACTCCAGAAAAGAGTGCAGGAGAGAGTGGATGGCAAGCACAGAATGACTATAAATCTTGAAAAAACTGTTGGTACTGGTAAATTTGAGCCTAAAAATGCCCAAGTACATTCATATATCTTGAAACCATAGTGACAAGACCTGTGCCTAGGACTGGCTCTCAGATGCCTTTACGCAAACAGTGAGCACTGTAGCTCGAGGTGTAACAGCCAGGATGGCAACGCTGTTGAGATGCCAGGAATGGGGACCTTTCTCAGGGACATGCATGGAGCATCTGTAGCTCTGGTTCTCCTGGCAATTGTATTGTAGTGACCATGGCAGAGAAGTAGATGTTGTGCCATCCTGGTCTGCTCACATGCCCTCTCACAGTCTGCTTGCTGAAAGGTTCTCTTGTCAGAACAAAGGTATTTATGCTATGAAAAAAGCCTTGGGAAGAGCATAAAGGATGCTCAAAAATGTACTTGACAAAGCGGACAAGACTCGGCCTGGTGATTACATCTATTTTCCTTTATTTTCATTACTCACCTTCAGTTTCAGTCACTTTGAACCATTTATTACAGCTAAAGGAACTTTTTTCTTCTCAGAGGGATCCAGGTTCACTGTGTATTACAACATTCCCCCTGAATTCTGGGAAAGGACTGACAACATGGGCCAGTTGTTCTCAGTACATGAGAAGTTATGGGGCATGCAAGGCTGAGGGTACTGAGATAAAACAGATTATCAAAAGACTCTTTCAGGATCTATGTGTTTTTTCACTGGAAGTCTTCGCTAGTACTGATGACATGACCAGTGACTGATGACAGTTTGGGAAGAAGCTGCCTCCTCACACTGAGAACTACTTTAGAAAAAAATTGGTGCAGATGGCCCCAGACCTGGATGCTTAAGGGAGCAGCAAAAAATGATGGTGAGGACTGAGTGTGACAGAAAATACGTATCACCTTACATATACATCATGAGGATAAATAACTCATAATTAACCAATCTGAAGGCAGAATAAAAAAGATGCCGTCTTCAACACAAAACAACAGCATGCTTAGCTTGAGATATGAAGGAACTCACATTACTTTTTGGTCTGAAATATCTCACACTTTTCCCATCTGGAGTATGACACACTATTTAGCAATGTGACTGGAGCGGTCACACTCACCACCTACACTGCTGCCATCTGGACTCGAGTAGTGCTAAGACGTCACCTTTTGTTTGGACAAACATTACAACTCTCCAAGAGTTCTCCAGATATCTGCTGAAAGCTTAAGGTGGGTAAGAAGGAGAAACTGGGGTTTCTGTCCAGACTTAGGAGGTGTAAACTAGCAGGTACAATTCTTCTGATATCCATCTTCATATAGGACTTATTTTTACTTCATCTCCTCCAAACTTCTGCATCACTCTTGTTTTTTTCCTGGCCATATTCATTCTATTATTCACATCCTTTCAGATTCAAAGCCCTGATCATTGCTTTGCTAGTCTTAGTCTAAACACTCTGAGACAACCAATGTTAATATCTTAACTTTTTTTATGGCATGTGGATGTCATAATTTAAATTTAGAAGCACCTTTCTATGCTTTCCTACGCACTAGTTACATAAAAAGCCTCAATCTGCTTAAAAAAATTAGAGCACAAAATATTTTTGGAGTATCTTTTTATAAAAACTCTACGTGCATACAGAATCCACAATGTCGTGTTACAAAGAGCTATCTACACTTGTTAGATACAGTCCTCACAACTGTGTATGATACCTAAGGTTTTACCTGAGATAGATAAACATGGTCATTCCAATCACACAAATAAACAGGCAGCAGCTAGTTTTCCTTCCTTTCTTATATAGACAGATATGTATTTACCCCCCATTATTTTTCTACCCGAATTAGAAGAAATAAATCATTATTCCAGGACCAGGTTAAGATTATGTCCCTGTGGAAGAGGTATACTAAGCAAAACTTCTAACCTAAGTAATATAAAAATCTAGTTTATTTACCACCACTCACTTGTGTAGTGTGGCCACAGCCTCTCTTGTCTTGATCTGATCCAAGCCAAAAGTGAGAGCAAACCGACGGGCCAATTCCTTAATTCCACTAACATGGGCAGATGTCCTGTCCAAATTAGGACCTTGCTCCTGAACAAGCTCATTGAACAGCTAGAGAAAGAATACAGTTGTTAAAATCTGTGAGCTAGAAAACACAGTTTTTGACAAAGACTTTTGTTCTTAACCAGCTAGGGCTACAAATGGACATTATGATCACTTTTTTTTTTTTTTTTTAGCAAAGATCTTACAGAGTTCACTTACGTTCATTTTCTAATCTGCTTCAGTTCCCAGACCTTCTTCTGTGTAATTGATATTCATCAACTGGCCCCCACCTTGTACTTGTGTGGAAAATAAGTTTTAAGCAGCACTTTGCACATACCTTCATTGGACTGCATCCATTGTTTTCTGAACTCATCGAGATGATTTTGCATTCTTATGCTGCTTTCTAAAGTACCTGCACCACCCAGCAGATCAGTATAATCTAGGAATTTAGGAACCAAATTTTCTATTCCATCATGCAAGACAATGAATATCTGAACAGTGTTACAGGGTAAACACCTTCAAAGCTTGCTTGATAATGCCATTTCAGCACAATGATTTACTCAGTAATTTTCCAATCACTTCTGTATCTACTTATGTTACTGCCATTTAGACCACGCTTTCCTAACTTGCTAATGACACCATCAAAGGAGACTATGTCAACAAAAATATTAAATCAAATTTCATTAAATATACCCCTTCTCTCCTATCCACAGGCTCTATTACCATATAACTAATGAAAGCTGCTCAATTTTACATGATTTCTCCTTGAAAAATTGATACAGGCTGCTACCCATAACTTAGAAACTTGCAATAGCTTATCTAATATATATATTTTTTCATGACATGGTGTTAGGCTGTACACAATTGACAGGTATGGCACTTGGTTTCTTCTTCTCTCCAGGTTCTGACAGGAACTAATTTTATACTTGCCATTGTCAATTCTTCTAATTCTTCTGGAATTTCTTCTGTTTTTCTCACATTTTCACAGATCTCACTCAGCTTTCAGATTGTTATAGGAAATCCCTTTGTACTCTGGAGTGAATTTTGGAAGGCCCAGCCAATTTGAAAACATCTAACTTATGTAAGAAATTTCTCTGTGTAATGGGTATAGCTGGAATTGCCAGTGCTGAAACAGTATTTAGTGAAACACACACTTGGTGCTGCCAGCAGAACAATGATGGTTTTTGTATCAAACTAAGAGTTTATGGTTGATATAAAATAAACTGTTCAGAGGAAAAAAACATGCTTAATAATACTGAAAGACTTAAACTAATTATCTCAAAGTTTGAAATATCATCAATATTTAGACAAAATAGAAAAGATGCATTACTTCCAGCTAATTATGAGGAGAAAAAGTCATCCTAATTCTTCTTGCTTGATAGGTACCAGTAAATAAACACTATGAATCAGCTTGGACCAAACTGCCATCAAGGCTTTTTTCTCCCTTTCTTCCATTTTAATCCGGCTAAACTTTGCCTATTGTTGCCTTAAGAATACAGCGGTTAAAGAGACAAAGCAACTTGAACTGAGGAGCAAGATAGTCTTTTAACAGAAGTGTATTTTTTTGCTTCAATGTAAAGGGCACCAGAGAAATATCCTGTCCAGCATTTGTTGCAATGAAGGACTTCTAATAAAAAAACAATATTCTTACCTGTTGCAAACTGAGAATGAGTGTCTTTGCACACTGGATTTTATCAATTTGCCTTGTTTTGCTCAGGGTTTCCTTAATGATATCTCCATAGTCATTGTAGTACTAGGAAAAAATGTGGGCAAAAAAATCCTTTTAAAATTGAAACTCGTATATAATTTTTCACAGCTTTTCTTATAGAAAGATTACTTGCAGTTCTTATATTGAAAAGGTATTTTTTTTATTATTATTTTTAAAAAGACCAAAAAACAATTTCAAATACAGCTTGAAACTGCTGCTCTGTCTTCTGTGATGACTAATCTCTTACAGAGAGACAGGTGGGGTACACCTGGCAATCTGACGTATACTGAGGGGCTTTATGTAGCTTGGCAGTGTAAGCAGTGCTAACATACATGTCTTCGGGTAGGTAAATTGCAAGTACAGGGTAAAGTGGCAGCTGAACAGCAAGTCTTTCTGAATTTCATTGGGCCTAAATATTGCATGGAAACACCCTATGTTGATAGTTGATAAAACATTCAGGTACTGCAGACAGACCCACTTACAACACCAAGCTTTTTTACTGCTTTCCTGTTTAAAATGATCTTTTCCCACAGGAAAAAAAAAATAAAAATCTGCTTCCTTGTTCTGGCAAGCACCAAGATTGAGAAACTCCCACTGAAATATGACATTGAAAAAACAACTATTGTTGTGGATTCTAGGAACACATTTGAGGAGCAGGATAAGAAATTCTCTGCAAAGTAAGTCTCTCTAAAACTACTTGGCACCATGTAGGACCAACTTTTGATGCTGCCTTTAACAAGGCACTCCTGCTGTGTAGGAAGGCAAATTCCGAGCTTACTGCTTCTCAGTGACAGGTATAATTTAAAAAAGAAAAACTAGTACAGAAATCAAACAAGGCTGGAAAAGCTTTCAAGTGTTCAATCTTTAACTACTGCACAGGAAGGGAGAAAAACAAGTGACCTGACACAACAATCTGTGTTCACTTAGGAGAGGGAGAATACACAGAGCTGTACCTTCATATAGTGTTTGAAGATATCAGCTGCTGCATGCATGTCCACAATGTCATAAATTATCAGCTTGCTGAAGGCAGCCAAGAGGTTTCTTCTCTTATGTAAGGCTTCTATTTTGTTAGCTTCATCTTCTTCATCTCCCTCTGAAAGCACCAACAACAATAAAAAAAAAATATTATGTTATATTCTAAAACAACATTATTAAAGAGTACCTTTTAGAAAAAAATCAATTATTTAAAATGAAGCAACAGTTGTTGCAGGAGAAGCTAAAATCAAAAATGATTATTCTTGAATGTTAGGACCTTCTGGGAAGTTCAGGGAGATGACAAACCATTCACCAAGGATGCCATAATCCTGAGTAATACTGAACACAATCCACATGGAACTGAATCACTGATTTTTTTACCCTGTGAAAGGCCATAATGAAGAGTTGTTGAATGCTTTGTGCTTAGCTTCTGAAATCAAAGGACATTTGAAGATGCTTCTTTAACAAAACTGAACTATAAATATTTAAAATAGAGAAATTAGAAGCCAGTGCTTCTTCTGCATGCCTTGGATTGCAGGTATGAAATCCATGGTCTTACAGCAGCTATAAACAACAGGAAATAAAATTCAGTTGGAAGAGACATCAAATGCTAACGTCATATGTATTAAATCCCCATGTAAGGCTCCATTCTGTGAATGAAAATGAAACTATACACATGTGAAATACATTATATAGTAAAACTGTATTACATATTTTATAGAAGTAAATGAAATCAGCTATAACAACTGTAATAATAGAAAATATTCTGTGGTATTTAGAAGAGATCATTCTTAAAGGAAGCCTTCCAACCAGTCTGAAGAAATACAGGCCTGTGTAGGGGGCAGGAGGAACACAGTGTCACAAGGACTCTTTTGCTGCACTCTTACTGTAGTTTCCACAGAGCCACAGTGTGTAAGTCATGTATTGTACCACAGGACACCTCTTACAAGCAGTGGAGTTGACTGTGAGTATGTATACATGCTGTTTTTTGGATGATTTAACCCATAGAATTGAAGCCCAATAGCATCCCCCTATCCCCACATTTTTCTTCATTTCTTTTTATAGTTACTGATATGTTCTTAACACCAGAAGTTGTAAATCATCACACTGACTTCATGGAGTCAGAGTAGCATTAGGGAATGGAGATTACATAAAAAGATCTTCATCCATCTTTTTGCTGTCTTCCCAGTCCAATCACAGGATGTTAAAAAACCCTAATGTTCCTCAAGAGCCAAGAAAAATAAATACTGTCCTCCTAAAATCTGTTCTTGATTTATTACTCCGAACTTTGAACTCACAAAGTATGATTAACTTGCACTGTGGATTTCTGGTGAAGTTGTGTGTCAAAATGCATTCTTCTTAGGCCATTGTAACCCTTAAAAAGGTGCTCAAAAAAGACGTTAGCTAGAAGGATGAAAGGACCTTTAGAGCAAGAGTAAATTCTCTGAGACCATAGTTCTATCCACTACTGTCTTAACAGATCAAAAATAGCACTTATATGCCACCATAACATACAAGTAACTGAGTTCAATGGAAATTCACAAAATTTGCAAAAAGAACACTACAGTACACATTCAGCAGATGTTTCATATTTTTCGACCCTCTGGGAATCCATCGCTTGTCCAAAGATATTTAGGATTCAGAAGGTGGATACCCCTGTATCTCACTTAGGCATTTGTAACACACAGCAGAAGTGAGTTATTTAAAAACAGATGTCAATGACAAATCCACCCCTCCCTGACTGAAAGCCAAAAATCTCCAGTCATCCTTCTGAGGAAGAAGAGATGCTTTAACTCCTGCTTCTCAAAGCATGGCCACACACACACAGATGCCTAGGAAATAACAATAAAGCAAGCACACGCAATACTTCTCCAAGCAGTCTCCCAGTCTCCAACAATTTCAAATCAATCCTGAGCTTGATTTAATTTTTTTTTTTTTTGGGGGGGGGGAGGAGGGGGAGCAGAGTGGGTATTTATTTAGTAACACCAGAGTTTCTTAAGACTATCCTTGCCTAGAGCTTTGATGGAAAGATTCACCTCACAATCCTGTAACTCTGTTTTGAAACTTGAAAGGATTTTTCTTCCATGTACTCTTCTGGCATACTTTTTCCCTTGAAGCCATACTAAACGAAGTCTGTCACTGAACTAAGACTTCAGTATTTTTGAAAATAAATACTAAGGAAAAGATCAGTAAATAATTTTGTATGGATTAATAAAATGTAGTTTACAGGCCAGTTCCATGTCTTCTAAAAACACCCATTTTAATGAAGTGAACTTTGTAACTACTGTTTCTTCTTTAACAGATATAACATTGAATACTTCATATTCACACCTAAACCTCCCCCACCAATAAAGAATAGTAATTCTGAAAACATTTTTGAGCAAACTTTTCTGAAAATTCTATTTTCTTCTCTCTTATGTGTTTGTTATGAAAAAAGATAAAAGTAGAAAACGTGAAGGCTAAACATACCCATGCTCTGGTTTTCATCATCTTGGTCAATGAAGACATGGTCCATCACAAAACTGAGAAGTTCTGACTGAAGGCCTGAGTCTGGATTAAACACCAAAGGCTGAAGACCTTCTCTACCTCCAGTCATCAGCTGATGACTAAAAATCATCAAGAGATCACAAAGCAACATGAAAGCCTGAAAGGTAAAAGAGACACATTAAGAGTAAGAAGCGTAAGTCAAGTAAGTGCAAAACAAAATACCATTTATCTGATTTCTAGACATTTTCCCACTATTATTAAATAGAGAGAAAAGCTAAACGAGAAAATAAAAGAGTAACATTATAAGGCAAAATCCAAGCTGAGTCATTCTCAGATCCTGAAAATACGGGGAAACAGATGTAAGCAATGAAATCCTTGCAGAATTTCACTCACAGTTCTCTGCGGAAACAACCAAGTAACTCTGCATGGCTTTCAAATCTAGGTAACAGTCAGGGCAGAATTTTTAATGATTTTTACTCATCACTGTTATACCCTTATTAACTGGGAACAGAAAAAAAGTAGCTATAAATAATTCTGTTTCTTTCAAGGGTTTATCTGCATGCTCCCATGCATGAGAATATGACTGTTCTTTCCAATGGCTTATGTTGGAGCATTATAGCCAGCGGTATTCATTTGCATTACATTCAACACCTGAACATCTTTCAGAAAGTATTTCTTAATCATTTTCATTTCTTTATCTTTAACCTTTGATTCTGAGAATAGAGAAAGAGAGGAAGGTTGAAAGTACAAATGTGCAAAAAGACTCCTAGAAGATTAGCGCTGGAAACGCTGCGGCTTTCCCAGGAGCCTGCAGGAGTCTCACTCCAGGCAGTATCAATCACAATTCCCAGGTAGGAGGTAGGCCAAAGGGGTTTTCAAACGAACACAGACTGCAGAATAGCCCTGCCTGATTCATGAAATCCAGCGTAGGCTTTAATTCAGTCCTATATTCCCCTCTACAAACAGCTGAATGCATGCTTTTATAAACTCCCACCTAGTAGTGTTTAAGATGGACTTTAGATCAAGTTTTTATTTAACTGTGAAGAAGAATACAGTTAAATGTGTATTTAAACATACTTTTGAACCCTCAGAAAAGTTGAGTGATAGCAACCTGCTTTACAAACCTCCACCATGAATTCTTTGTGAATTCTAAATGTCGCACCAGCTCACTCATCTCGTGGAGTACGTTATAAAATCTGAATGAGCTACACTTACACAAGAACAAAATGCAAATAGTTGTAAACCATGATCAATTTAGACTTTTGCCAGTATTTGGGATTTTTCTTCACAGCATCCAAAAAATATTGGGTTTGATTCCAGTGATGATCTCAGCTGCTCTGAACTCCTTTGACATGCATTTGACATTTGAAATTCAAGCTAATACTAATGTAGACCTCTAAAAAGCAGGTGGGTACAAATTACACAGTGAAAGTGTTTTTTTCTGATCAATATAAAGACAGCATGTACAAATGTCTATCTATTGTAAATATGTCTAGTCACACATTTATTTCACTCAGTCTAAGAAAATTTGTAATGTTTCAGTTGTATTTCTAACAAATACTTAACACTCCTTTCTCTCCTCTGATATGTAATTGACTCTCTCTGAGAAGAATTTATAGATTAAGAAACAAATAAGCTAGTAAGAAAATACAATTAATTCTCCAAAGATCTAGCAAAATAAAAGCATTAAGGAACAGTTCCTGCACTTGCAGAAAGAGACTTTTTAAGGAAGAAAATTAAAAAGTTCATAGAAGAATTAGTTGGAAGGTCTCTAGCCCAACCTATTCTGACTGGGACTCTTGCTGTCTCTACATCTGGTTGGCCATGGCTTTGTCTAGCAGAGTCTTGAAAGATTCCACAGAATTGTGAACTGAAAAGGAGCTTCTAAGAAACATTTAAATTACCGATTAAAAGAAGATTTGAGAGAAAGAGAATTAAAACATTTCAAAATACATCAAGCACAAAACCATGGCAAGGATCATTTACCATTTGTTGATGTAGAAGCAACATTAAACCTAGTTTATGCTAGAATCGTTTAGTATTTTCATGAAGTTAGATGTTATTTTCACATTATACAATGTTAATAAAATATATTCTATGTTAAGAGTAACTACTCAGAATACTAAATAGAATTACTAAACTTAAATCTGTTGCAAGACAATGACATATAGGAGTCCTTTAAAAGTACGTAAGGTAGGAAGATCTCTGAGCCTTTAATATTCATATTTATCAACTTGCAGAACACAGTGTAAATACTAAGCAGAGCTATCTTTTGAAAAAATAGAACTATCTTTTAAGAAGTATTATCTTAAAAAAACAAACAAACAAACAAAACACAAACATAAGCAAGTACATGTGTGCCACTTAGTTACAGTCTTTGCAAAATCGTGGAAGTGCTGACACAGAAATGCAATTTTAGACAACTAGAAGATGTCAACAGACCTGATAGAAATCAGCAAACATTCCTAACATCTTTGCAAACAAAGCAGCTATTGTTTATTGTATCTCTACAAAATTATTTCACAAAGTATTTCAACAAGTCCTTGGATTTAATTTATTTCATTTTCTAGACATATATAGCAGAAGCTTCTCACTCTGTGCATGTGTGGCTTTCCAAAAACACAGATACCTGGATAACTAACAGTGAATCCCCCAAAATGGATACCTTACTATAATTATATTTCATAAATACAAACCTTTGGCATACACTCACATGCAGAGAAATGTATGCACTTATGCTTTCAGTCAGCTTTCCAAACAGGGAAGCACAGCAACCTGAGTTGTAATGACTACATTCATGAGAATCTAAAAAAAACCCCTTGTTTTTTATATAATGAAGGCACTGTGTAACTGGATATTTTATTCTGATTTACCAAGGCAACATACCTATCATTCAAGCAACTAATTTTGCATAGTGTGAAACTACATTCTTAGTGTAATTCAGAGTATTTTTGTAAAATTAATTAACATAGATTTCCTGCTAGAAAATACACAGAAGTATGATGTATTCTGCTAGAAACGTCAGTTTTCTCTCATTAGCCACCATGGGTAAAAGAGACACAATATTAGCATGAATTGCTACATTTAATGGAATTACTAGGATGATAAAATAATGATAAATAGCAAGGCTTCAATTTTTCCAATCTAAATTCAGACATTTGACTTGTGTAGGAAAGTACTCACTCTAAGTTCTCCATTACTCAATACTAGGGAAAAAATCCAGAAATACACAGAGAAAGATTTAGCCAATTTGAGGCCTCAATCATCCTCTAAAAGTGCCTGTTTCTGTCTTTTAATACAGTAATTAAATAAAGGAATAGACTTTAATTTTTGATGATTCAGTTAGATGCCTTCAGACAGCTGAACGTGAGCCTAAGCAATCACTATTATATCAAAAGTGAATGTGACATTAGATGTGCTTCGAACGTAATTTTAATATAGTTCTTTTTATGAAGTGTTTGTTCAGTTTTACTTAGACAGAAGGCACACACGACTTTATTTTAAGTTTGGTGTATTAAGTGTCATTTTGAGTTTTCCTACAGTTTAATACTCACACTTTTGTAAAAGCATGTGACAGACATTTCTCTTACCTGTTCTTTTACTGGAGTGTTGACATTTGATAGACACTGCTGGCAGACAGCCAGAAAGGATTTCACAGTTTTCCTCAATACCAGTAAGTCCTCCTAGAATAAGGAATAAAATGGAAATATATAAATATATTAATAAAAGTTTGCTAGGAAAAATCAAAATAAGAGGATGGAGATAATTTCATAAGTTCAATACTATACACTAGCAAAACAAAGAGAGAGGCCATGAAATGTATGCTATTCATATAGCACAGAGTAAAACAAGTCATTAATTTTCAGAAGAATGGCCCAAAGTTTCTTGTAATAAATACTACTAATAAAACAACACATTCCTGAGGTAAAATTATCTGTATTTTATTTGGATGTAGAGTATAAGTGTTTCAGAAGAAAATGTTCAGTAGTGGTTTATAAAGAATTCTGTATGTAGATTAATCAATGTGAACAAAAAACACCAATAAGGTGTCTCAAGTTCAACAAAAACATTCTCCTAACCATGTGCAGAAATTGGAAATGTGAGGGCATATCACAGAAATCTAATGACTTAGAGAAGAAGGAGGGAGGTTTGTAAATCTGGACGAAGAATGATTTGTAGGTAAAAAAAAAATAAATAAACAAATGCCTGGTTTGATCACCTTCATCTAGAGACAATCCACGTATATGTTAGCTGTACCAGAAGTGGCAGGTTCAATAGGAAAGCTGGGTACTTTGACCTATGACGTACCCTGATGAATACATATTTTTTTACAGAAAACAAAGTGAACTGGTGAAAATAAATCAAAATAAAACATAAGATACTGGAGCATAATCTAAAGTATGTAGCAAGCAGCCACCTGGAAATAAGAAATTACAGAAGAAAATATTCGTGAAAAGCTCCTATGTGAAAAGCTATGACAGCCTCTGTCTTGTAACCAAGAAATTTACTGAAAACTGCATAGCTGGGCACCTACTTAACTACTCTGTTTACATTAGGACCAATCTCAACACAGAGAAAAAAAAATACAAACCACAAATCACCAGGACTTTGTGTTAGCTTCAAGTTTTGTCAAAATGACCAGCTTTGTCAGCACTGATTTATAGATTCTGCTACTCTGCATTGCTCAGGTGATACAAATACAGCTTCTACCCTGTCTGCCTCTGTCCGGCTGCATTGCTTACATTCACCTGCAACCGTTGCTTTGAAGATCTTTCACTTCCCAGGTTTCACCATCAGAGATCTCATATAGAGGAGGGCTCATCACAGCCATTAATTCTCACTGAGGCTGCTGGCATACCACTGCTGCTGACATTCCCTCCATGGTACCTACCTGTATCAGCTTTCTGATGGAAGACAGCGTGCCCTACAGAACAACATCTAACCTAAATCTAAAGAATCTACATAGTGCATATGCACCAATTTTTGATTATGATGGATGCTTAATCCATACAGCTCATTTCTAGTGTTAATTTCTTTTCTTGCATCCTATCGTAAGATCTTGTTATTATTTGTTTATTGAAAGCCTTTTTGTGGCCCATATGCTTTTTCTGTACTGATTCACAACAGAAGACAGGTCTGGAAGTGCACTGAAGCAATCAGTATGTTCCTAAATCTCTGAACCTCTTGTAATTTTCAATAGACTTAAGTGTGGTTTTCTAATCTGGACTCTGAAGATCTGTAAGTTATATTGCCTTCTTAATCCTAATCATTTTTCTCTGTTAATAAAGGCAAGGATCCATTTCTGCAACTGCATTACACCACGATTACATGACATGTTAGGTAGCTCTGCTCTCTTCTAAGTCACAACTTTGCACTAATCAGCATTCTTGTTTCCAGATATGTCTTCTATTTGGCTGCATTAAAATGCCTCTTTGCTTATTTAATTGTAATTTGTTTATCAATTGATCCACATTTTTAAAAGTTTTGCTTTACCTTCCCTCATAATTGTTAAAAATAATAATCACTTTTTAGCTGCAAATGGATTCCTCTTGGAACGCACCAGAAGCTGTTGCATTGTGTGATGATTTCCCAATTTCAACTTTTATCTAATATATTAACAAGTTTGGAGCTACTGAATATAAATTACATTAAATACACATATTAACCTGAAATGCAATGTGATCCTAATGTCCACAGAAATTGCTATTTCAAAATAGTGTTTTTATCAGTCAAAAATGCAATCTTCTCAAGAACAGATTTCCTTGTTCCTTCCAGTCTCATTTGTTGGCCATGTTCTTTGTGTCCTTCAGCCTTGTACTGACTGTTTTCTGTCAGCCATTCCAAGTATTCTACCTAGGACTGATGCTAGGCTTATACGTTTGCTATGCTACATAATCATATGATTTATACCTTTAAGCATTGGTATTACAATCACTTCAATTTCTTTCTATCTATAGAAATTACTTTTCATCATAATTATCTTCCATTTAGATGCTAATGAATTCAAAAGAGAAACTAAAACCTACAAAAAAATCCTAGATAAAGGTTAAAAATTGCATGTCTCCCATTTTTCTTTCTGTCAACAGCTGAGTAACACCTAGGTACATGCTATTTATTATCCTCTTGCTTGCTGGCATGACAAACATTCAATTTGGAAAGTTAGAAACAGAAAAAGAAAGCCCCCCTGAACAGCGCAACAGAGCCATCTGGAACTTTGCTAAATTTGGAGAAGTCTCCAGACTACTATAGAGTGGTAATGATTTTTTTTTCTTTTTGCTTGCTTGTTTGTTTGTTTAAGAAAATGGTAAGGAAAAAAATGAATTTGATTTTCAAGTCTTTCACCACTCTAAGGCACACAGCCAAGGTTCTTGAGGTGTGGTTACATGGTATGTGGGCTTCAGCAAAAAAAAAAAAAATGTATAAAAAATTTACTGTCCTCTAGGTTGCTAGGCTAAAGCCACAGGGTCACACTGTGAACTGGATTACTGAAGTGACCCAGGATAAAAATAATCCTTTCCAGAACTGTACAGATTATATAAAATTTAACTAGTACATGGAACAAGAATGAGCCACTAAAAGCAAGGACTTAAACTGTTTTTGCCACCAACTGTAACTGAACAACTGTGCTCACAAGACTTACCTAAAATTTTGCAATTATTTTCTAGCTTTAAACTGAAGGGTTTTTTTTTTGTTTGTTTTTCTACATTGAAGCTATTTAGAAATGCTGTACTTTTGGTAGTGGCGTTTCTTCATATTTTACCATTGCCTTTCCTCTAACCTATTTGTATTGAGTATTCACTTTCTTCTTCTTGCAACTCCAATTCTTTGACAGACGTTACAATGTTCAAGAGCCCTTAGCTCTCAACGCTACTGGGGAGCACAACCTTTTGCATCTTGTGACTCTTTTCTTCCCTTCAGCATTTTGTGCTTGCTTTCATTGTGCCAATATAAATATGAAAAGTTACCAAGTCACTACGTTGTTCCTGAAATCCTTTAATTCCTCTCCACTAATTCCTCTGCCTACTAATCAGTTAGTAATAGCTATGCATTTGGCTAGTCTGGCTGCTGCTCGTTCAGAACTGTTTTGCCTTTGTCTTGCCTATGAATGCCTGCTCTACTCATCCTTTTTCTTACTGTTCTAAGATTCAGGACTCTATTCTTCTACAGATATTTTCTTTTCATTACGTACATGTACAGTGCATTGTACAATGGTCCCAGGCACCTGGTTTATTGCATGCATGCATAGATCTAGATGGAAAAAAAACCCTGTATAATCTAATACCTGTCTTCTAGCTCAAAACACTGGACTTGTTCCCCATGATCTACAGACAAGAGAACTCTCACTGGGAGATTATCAGTTTCCTTTGAAACTACCTTCAAGCCCCTTTTAATTTGAAGAAAGCTTTTTCTCTAGGCTACAACAGACCGGTCCCACAAATGGCACAATATAAATCACCTCCCCCCAGCAATGTGCAGGTTACCACGAAGAGCCCTGCTCTGCTCACCGACAGCCACGGTCCTGGCCTCAGCCTCTTCTGAACACTTAGAAGATGCAAGTCCAACAATTAGAGCACCGGAGTAGGGATACTTCCAGGCATAAACATGTCATCCTTACCCGCCAATGTTTCCTTTCAGATTTTAGACACCAAGATGACACTACAGGATGCCATTTTTTTTTCCACAGCACACCTTAAAAAAGAGTTTTGAAATAACTCTGTCTCAACTCTGTGCTGTATTTAGGTTAACTGGTGGAATCTTATTTGGCAGAGAATTTGGACTTTCTTACTACTTCAAATAATGAGTAATTACAACCCTTCCATTAAAATGTCCTTAAAGTATTCTGTGCTGTTATCACTCTCTTAAGTATTATGATCAAAATTGCAGTCTGCAAACTGTATTACAGTGTATTACAACTTTCTCCTTTTCTTTTACAGACAGCTTACCTGTATCTAAATGGAAACCATAAAATTTATAAAACCTTATATTTTGTATTGAAATCTTCTGTTATTTTAAACCTCAAGGGCTTATGTGCCCAAAATCTTATATTTTTTTACAGCTATATTCATTGGTCTATTAAAGATACTACCTCAGTCTACAAAGCATCACCTCCATATGTCCTTAGATGTATAGAAAAGCTACAGCAAAGGACCACTAGAAAGGTAGATGGATCTACATATTACAATGTGTCAGAAATGTTCATTTAAGAGCCTGCATAACTTCAAAATGCTAATGAAATACACCATTCTTCATTCTGATATGCTCCCCATTAATGATTTTGTCTTCCCATACATTTTACTTCTGAAGTGATTGATTCCATTTAATGTCTGCTAACTTATAAGCAAGCCTAAATCATGGCAAACAACCATGGGTAAAATGATCTAACAGATTAAAGGATTGATACACTGCATTCTGGATTCATTTACACAGTCACCAAATTAAAATTAAAAGTTTCATATAAAAACACATAGGACAAACACATGTGGGCAAAGCTGTGGCTCCTGGCCAGGTAGGAAGAGCTGAAGGACATTAACGGAGTGCTCTGTAGAACTAAGGATGCAAAACATTGATTACTTTTGTAGGTGTGGGGTGAAACCCCAAACATTAAAGTAATAAGAGCTCTCTAGCTTAGAGTGATTATGATTTTCACTGGGGATTCCAGAAACATAATTGACTTGTACTTCAGATGGTCGTTCACCACAGAACTTTCATAGTCTTTCAAATTCCTACGATCCACGGAATGACTAATATGAGTCAGAACAGAATGCATGAATAGTATTAGAAGCACATGAAAGGTCAAAGCTGTTTTTCATCCATTTCATAAAACAATGTATCACATAAATGTATCCTATTTTGAAAGTAGGAAAAAATATACAACTGCACTGAGCTTGTCTGCAAGAAAAACCCATTCACCGAGGTAAAGAGCCTTTTCTTGTTCAGTTTAACTGGACCACGCTGTTGACATTGCAAACAACAGACCACATTCATACTTTGAAACCAAAATGCAAAGCTCTTGACCAGGTCTTGTGCAGATAGATGACATATACATTGGCTACTACCTGCATTTTATGTTAAGTATGCTTCTTTTGCTAAAATTTAGAGACAAGAAAACACAAAACCTTTTTTCCAGTATTGCTACTGGTTATCACTCTGCATTATCAATATTATACTGCACCATTTCACTGTATTTATTTAAAAAAAATGGGAAAATGCAGTGAAGGGAGATAATAATCTCACTGAATGCTCTGGGCTTATACAACCAGACCAGGGCAAGATAGCATCCACTGCTCAAAGGCCCAGAAAGCAGGAGGACATAGTTGCTGGGAATCTTCAGGAGGGGGTAAGTCACCTAGCAAATCCCCAACAATCAGAGCACTTGGGGAGGAATTTAATAAAGCTGTTGAAGACAGCACCTAGGCTTGAATGGTCGACGAAAGTGCTCAAAGTTCTTGCCTCCTTGCACCCAGTACAGATAACCAGCAGTCCAGTTTTCTTTACTAGGGAACCATTAGAACAGGCTTTGGTGTGTTGGTTTTATGGACTTACAGGCTAATGTGTTATATGGCCTCCTGAATTTTGTTTTAGTTATTTGTCTCCTTCTGTCAAAGTGAAATTCCTCCCTAAGGAAAACAATGCTGCTAGCTAGGAGGACTTGAGATGCTTTATTGTGATGAGATTCTGAATTCATTTAAACCAAACGGGATATATCCAGTCTTTCCAGGTATAAGGAATTGAAATGGGATACTAAATACTACTACCATGCCAAAGAGATTGAGAAAACACCTCCCAAATTCAGAATAAGTAGTAACAGTAATTCTTATTTTCTAGTAGCTTTTAAATGTCAATGTCAACATTGAAAAAAAATTACAATAGAATTATCATTTTAAGTACATAAAACGTTGATTTTATCAGTACTTTAGGATAGCACTTTTTGAAGCTGATGGAGAAGTACACTTACTATTACAGTTTTCACACAACTTTAATGTGATGCATTACTTCTGAAGAAGTCCTAAAAGACCAGGTATTGGCCTCTCACTGAGAAATTGCAAAGGAAAGGCCCTGGAAAAGCTAAGTATAATGATCAAGTTACAGGTAACATTGTCCTTAGTGCATGACACTTGCATACACTTGCTTTTTATTAGTATTGTCACCTGACAGTAAGTCTACATTTATATTTAGCAATATGAAAGATGTATGTAAAAGGTAGACAAGCTAAATACACAAAAATACTAAGCTATCTGTGGTGTACAAATCAGTAGCATTGCCTGCAACTGTTAGGCAAGCATTGTCAACTTATTCATTCATGCAAACTGCAAACTCACAATAAAGTGCATTAAGTATCTTCAGCAATAAAAATATAAAAATCAACTAGTATCAAATCCTGATGGAGACAAGCCTCTACTGTTTGTTTGGCTTACTGAGACATATGCATGATATTAAACAGATCTTAAAGTAGTGAGTAAGTCAAAACACAAACTTTGTATCAGCTTCACAAGGGCATGAAATGACTGTACTTGGTGGAGTTAAAAAGAATCAGGTCTTATGTCTTTTTAGGTTAAGCTGTGTTTCTTCAGCAAAGTTTGTATAATCTACTTACTTTGGAAGGGGAGCCTTCAGTGATTTTTACCAGCTGCCAGAGAATAGAGTAATGCGAACACTGCAGTGCCTGAACAACTATCTGTAACAGAGGAAACACAGAATCTGAGCATATTGGAAATACCAAACAAATCAGTGAAGTGTATGTAAAATGCATAACGCATTTTGAGGAGAAAAACAGGAGCAGCTCTCAGATAGTATCTTTTGTTTTCAAGAGTCAGGTTGGTGCAATAAGAAACTAGCCTATTACAATGAAAAAAATACTGTGGATATGCTAGGAAACAAAACAAAACAGAAAACTGTGCCTGGGAATACAGCAAAAGGTGACAATGCAGCATGACAGATGTACAACCCAACATCTACATATCTCAGTTCAAAAGTATGTGTTTAAATACCTATAAATCTTACTTCACTCGTAAAAATGCCTTGAAATTTGTTCCGTTATCAAATGAACTAGTAGCCCAATTTTTAAAAACGAAAAAGTGTAATAAATATTTTTCTCACGGAAAGACAGGATTAGTATTTGTGATGTCCTAAAAAGCATCAATGTCTTTTTAAAATTTCAGTTCTATAACAGGTATTAAAAATTCCACAATCTTTTCAGTATGAAGATGCTTCCAACAGTTAACGATTCTGTGCATACTAAGTCAAGTTTGTAACACCTTTTAGCTGCTTTAAAAGATGTTTTTTTTTTTTAAAATATATTACTAAAAGCCAAACTGTTCCTTTCCAGCAAACTCCTTCCAGTGGACTGAGGAAAGAAATACTGAGGAGAGTTCAGGTTTCTGAAGTTTTTTTCAACGCCTTACAGAAGTATTTGAGGAGCTTACACATGTATCTACTAAGCCCAGAAGCTGAAAAGATGGCTGGCAGTTGCAAGAACATTTTTTTTGTTTTTTTATATCTGCTGGCCCCTTCCCTCCAGGCAGCACAATTCCAGCATTAAGTAGCAAACACTGAGAGAGCAGAAGGTCCCACAGTTTAAAGCCTTGGCTTCAAAACAGGCATGTGGCAATGAGTTTGGCTAGAAGAGTCAGTCTCTACTATGGCTCCAGATACTTTCACCTCCGTTGGCTGTGAGAAAAGCTTCAGACCTACCAACACCTCCTACCTCAAAAACACTTCAACAGATGTAATGGATTTTTTTTTTCCCTAAATGAAGTTGGATTAGAATTAACAAATGGCTTCTAACTGAAATGAGAAAGGTTCATGGTTTTCATAAGCATCCATTGTACCTTCAATGCACAATAACTGCAATAATTTGAACTGCAGCCAAAGTTTACAAATGATGGGTTTCTGTGTAAAAATCATGATTTATGGAGTGCTTTTCACAGCCAGGAACATTAGTTATTTCTTACTTTACAAATGAGAAAGGTGAAAGGTGAGGCAAGTAGCTCAAAATCACACAGAGTAAAAAGAAAAAACAAGAGCAGTATCCAAGATTTTCCACCTCCTGGACAACGCTTCACTAGAAGAGTAACTTCATTTAAGACTCCACAATTTCCCTAAATAATTGCCACTAGTGCATTAATTTCTTGAACTTCTCTATCACTAGAGTCTTTTAAACACTGATGATGCAAGACACATGTTGCTGTTGGTACCTGTTCTGGCATAGCTCCGTGTTCAATTCCAGTTCTTAGTAATCTGTAGCAGTTACTGAACAGATCCCATTTTGTGAGATCGTGAGCACTAGAATGAGAGATAATAAAGAGATTAGTTATATTTCTAAAAACTTCACATCACAGCAAGAATATACTCTGACCTGGCAGCTCAGTGAACAGTTTGGTATTTTTGCAAAGCCGAGACAATAGAGCATGCTGACAAGGCAGCTGCACAATTAGTTCACATCATGTTAAAAGCATAAGTTAGGTTTTCTGATGATAGAGGAAAATAATATTCTACTACATTGGATTTCTGTAGGAAGGAGGTAAACTTGATGCATATCATGCAACTTCAAAGTTACTTAAATGTAGCTACAATCCCCTTCTCAGTGTTGCCTCTAAATAGTAATTGTTTCCTCTTTTGTTCTAAACCTTGGCAGAACTTCAGAAGGCACTTCTCTGGCATGCAACAGCAACTATAGCCCAACTGCAGTAGTGTATACTGAATGAAAAATTGCTTTAAGGAAAAATTACATAATCTTCTGCCTTATCATTTGGCAAAAAATATTATATTTTATCACTAAACATCCTGGAATATCTGAAGTCAGAATGATATACATGTATATGAGACAGAGATGGTGTTAACCACTCCCTCCATTCAGTGTTTCACATTTCAGTTGTACCAACCTGATTTGTCAGGGAGAGGAATACAAACGAGATTAGCAACATTTACTTTACAGTCTTACACACCTCCAACAGCTTACGTTATAGTTTTTTAATAAAGAACTGAGAAATGCTAAATAAATTACAAAACATTAAGGTTACATGAAAGACAAGAATTATATTTCATAACAAATTTAGTTTTAATACTGTTCTCTAGTAGAGTAAAACTGAAAATTTAAAACCATTTATATGTTTACGTGTATTACAGAGAATGCCACCTCAAAATAATAAAAAATATGGTGATTAAAATACTCACCTGGAAGAAGAAGGGATGCTCAGACTGAATTGGCTAGTATAAATTAGATAAAGCAGTCTCATCTGTCTGGCTCCCTTTCATCCCAGCACCTTCATCACCAAGATATGCTCACTTTTCCCACCCCTCTGCTTCTGCCCTGTGTTGGAGCTGCCTGACTTTGTTTAAATAATTAACTACCCTGCTCAGTGAGAAAGAAAAATTCTCTACTTCTGTAACGAACAGAGGGTGAATCAGGAGCTCTGAGATCCTGCTGAGACCCTTAGTATGAAATGCTTCTCAGTCTGGAGTGCGTTGGCCCCATAATCTGGAAAACCTCACTGATAAAAGTTTCACAGATAATGTAGCATTTAATGTCCTTGAGCTGAAAATAAATAAAGTATGCTCTCTAGGGTTGTGCCATTAAGCAAAGGTGCATCTTAGCTTCTAATTAAGATCCATGAACAGAAGAAAAACTATAGGAAAATCTAAACCAAAGCAAAACGAACAATCCCCCCCCCACCTCCCCCCCCCCGCAACAAAAAATCAACATCTCCCCCCCTTCTGGATTTATCTTCAAAGTGTGGAAGTAAAATGTTTTATAGATAAATGATAGGCTGTCAGAGAAATGCCTTTGATTAGTCATATAAAGCACACAGATCCTGCCTCAGCAAATCACAGGGTTGCTAGCAAGGCAGAGTTGTACCTCCTTAATTACAGCACTGTAATTAAAGCAGTAAAATCTCCTTGGTGTGCAGATGCAGATATCGCCATAGCTTACTCAACAGAGAATTCAAGATGAAAAATTGTCTCATGTCTGTGTTTTCATTTTAGAGCCCTTCCTGTCAGGCAGCTGTCACAGGGGGCATTCCCCATTATCCTGACAGCTGGGGGCACCTTAGCTTTTTGCTTAGAGCTTGGCCTTACAACTGTCCTCAGGAAGAGCTATCCAGCTTCCAAAGCTGAAAAATACTAACTAGAGACAATTTTCAGAGTGTTTTTTTTCAATATAAACTTCCTTGAATAAAAGCTTCCACGTTATATTTAGGCATATTCTAGTACACTTTTTTTCTCTTTTGAACTACTCAGCAACCAAAATGATAGTGAAAGATACACTGGACACAACCCAATCCTCCACAAAGGTTCAGATTTTCCAACACGGAGGCTCCAAGAATGAAAATTCATACAACACAGCATTTTCCTTATCTTAATCCCTTCCATTTCAGAGTCTTCCTGGACTACAGAAAACAAGGCCCAACACTTCATCAAAGGAGGTTTATTTTCATCCCTATGGGTAGCACTGTCTCCTGGGACATATTTCAACCAGAGCGTAGCCAGATGAAGTAAAGGTACCAGCGCCGCAGTGTTTCTGACAGCGTGGAAAGCAGCCTACAAAAATTCCTGGGAGAAGAAGTGATCTCTCTGCCCACGAAACTGTTCTCTTATTAACGCAGCACAAAGTCACAGAAGCAGTACCTGGGGCTTTGAACAGCTCTGCTGGATGCAGCCTTATTTCTCTACTGAGGTTTCATTTATCATCATTTCTACTTCTTGCAGATTGAATAACTTAGTCTGAAGGAATCTGTTACGATGTATTGGTCAACTACTGGAAAAAAAACGTTAAGTGAGGGGTTTCTCTAACAGGAAGAGAATATCTGATCACGAATATACCTATCCTGGGAAGAGCCCTGCCTGATCCTGCTTATTCTGATAAAAAGACAAGTCTGGAGAGTTACAATAGCCATCACCAAGCTTCTGAAGTCAGAGTGGAGGCAGGAAGGAATCAAATTCTGTATTATGTTTGAGGACTACTGGGCAGTAATACCAACAATCCTGATTTCTAAATAAGAAACAATGTTCTATACACAAGGGAGTATGGAAAAGGGCACATCCAGAGGAAAAGAGGTGATACTTGAGATTCATGTCATGGAATCAACTGGAGTGATTAAATAACAACTGTGGATATACAAACTGCTACAGCACTGATTGTGAAAGCTCAGATGAATTGAGCCTATTTGGAAAGAGTTTATATGGAAAGATTATTTCCATGTACGTAAGGACAGAAAAAAATGCTATAATGTCAGTGAGACCCTGGCAAAGAAAATAATCTTAGAAAACAAGCTTAGATGTTTACTCCAGGTGTTCTGTTCAGAAGACCTAAAAGAATTTATTATTACATTCTGAAAACTTGGAAATAAACATTGTAATGGTGAATTTCGTTCATATTGAAATATGAATATCCTTGTTTAATAAAGACCTCGATTATAAAGTGTGCTGCAAACTCTTTTTGAAGTAGTTTTCTGGCCTCTCCCATTGAATTGGTTGCACCATTCCAGCATATAGGGAGATGGATCTTTTCTAGTACTGACAGACTTCATTAACAAACTTGATTTAAATTAACTTAAATGGGAGGAAAACTGCGCAGCGAATATGGTCTACAGAATATCCCTCCTGATCTTCTAAGGATCCACTTAAAAGTTAAGTCATTCCCAAGTGAAAAATCATCAGGAAATGATCCACTTGGAAAGAGGATTAGCTCAGGCTTGGGAAATCTCAGTACAGAAGGTTTTTTGATCTGGAAGGCTTTTCTGATAATTCCTACCATGGTCATTCCAACTTTTTCCTAGAGTATGAAGAAGCAGTAACTACAAAGGAAATATAAGTACAAATAAGGTAAATTTCACTGAAACACAAGAGAGACTTGTTTCTATTCAAAGCCCCCAACACCTGCTTTCCTTTGTCAGAGCAGTTTTATAAGATCTGAAAGATTTGTTGTTAGCCTGCAACTTCAACTTCTTCCATTGACTTTGGCTTGCAGTAGATGACAGACAGTGACAGTATCAGACAAGAGCAACTGTACTTTGAGATTAGAATGCTCAATGCAACTTTAGAATTGAAGATCCTAACCTCACAGCTAAAGATTTGGCAAAAATTCTGTGTCAGATAGTATGATTGTTTCCCTTCACAAATAAGGCATGGCAGATGTAACATTCAGTAGAGTAATGAAAAGATTTTGTTACTTCTTTAGATGCAAGCAGATATTAATTAGAAATTCCCACTGAACTATAATCTTTATATAATAATTTGTTACTTATAACAAATCTGCTGAGAAATGATACACAGCTGCTCTTCAGCTCTTTTAAGATTTGATTCTTTTCTCTTTCCTATTGTTTAAAGATGAAGGTAGATGTCCCTTACCCTAATTTGTGTGTCATTCCACAAAGCTTTGTTTAGAATCTGAAATCTCTCTCTAGAGATCTGGAAACCTAAAGGAAAAAAATAAATACGGGAGAACCTCAAGGAAGTCTTTAGATTTGTGCTTTTTTCTTCACTGTGAACTACAGCTTTCACCAGTCCTCTCAGGAAAAGCAGAAGTGGCTCCAGTGTGTTACCAGGGAGACCAAAAACCTAATTTGCACGTGTCAGCCTGCTGCACTACAGAAATTAGACACAATTTAATGATCTCTGTGGGACTCCTGTTGAATGGAAACAGAGAGCAGACAGTTCAGAACCGTATCATACAGTGATCCAATACAGGATTCAAGATACGTGAATACTAAGCACAATAAGGAAAGAGAACCAAAACCCCCAAACCAAAACCACTAACCAGTATAAAAGAGGTGGCAGAAAAAGGATCCTCTCAAATCCTGTCATAAGGAATAAATGCTTTGTGGCTCTCAGACATCTGAATATGAAGCTTTCCTACATGCTTAACAAGAGCAATTACTTCCTATAGTTGATACAAGGGGAAGATTAGTTCTTTGTGCTATAACCAAAATTCAGACAATTCAAGTGAAAATTTCCAGGTTGCTCTGCAGGTTATGAGAGTGCCCAAAGGCAGAACTGAGAGCAGCAGAATCCTGGAAAGCTGCTGCCTGGTTCCAGCTGGCTGGTTCACCCTGAGCTTAGTGAAGGAGAATCTGTGTAACCCACAAAATGAAAATGTTGCCAACAACTCCATAAGAAACTATTCCTGGCACTTCTGCAGGAAGAGAAAGCATCTTCCAAATTTTTTATCATCAATCATTAATTATTACTACTGCTCATTTTCCTAATTTTGAGCAGAAACACTTCAAAGGCATTGAGAAACAGAAAACAACTTCCTCCAGGGCTTTCCTAAGCTGAAGGTCAAAGCAAAGATTTATTTTGCATCCACAGGTGTCAGAGATAAGAAGTGTCCCTTGTGCACTGACTATATGTCATGCAGGAGAGTATCATTTTTGTGGTAGAACAGCTATAAAATCATTTAGTGCAAGGGAGGCTATGCCATTTGCAAACTAAACCTGTAAAGGTAGCCATTAACTAGCCAAGGACACTGATGAATCTGAGAAGTAGTACAAGTGCCACCAGTCATTCATTGATCTCTATTTCATATTTTACACCTTAAATTTTCTCATTTTTTAACACCAGACACAAGCTGATACTTGCTGAAATGATAACTGCAAATTTTCAAGGGAACAAAACACGTACTTGTGAAAAGAGGTTAACCTCTTTAATGTTGAAAGAACATTGTATATGTCATCGTCATCAGCTTCTTCTCCCTGAAAATGAAAAGAAATTCATGAATGGAGTTCAGCAGTTCACCCGAGAGTACATTTCTGCATGGAGAGGAGCACATTTCTTTGAGGTTTTATGTTGACAGCAAAATGGGATCTAAATTTTACAGTGACTTTTATCTAGATTCTGTAATAATAATAATTAAATAACTACTGCATAGCACTAGGAAAAGCAAGATCACTCAACAATATGCAAAAAATAAAATAAAATAAAAAACCTGAACCCCCCAGTAGTAGAAACCATTCCCTGGACAAAAAAAACCAAACACACAAACTATCTAATTTTACAGAAATTACTGAACTGCAATTTAACCATGTGCTACCAGTATAAAGCCAAATGCTTGCCTCACTCTGAACCAGATACCTGCAGATGTCAATAGAAAGTATTTTAAAATGGTCAGTGGGAAAATTCCTTTTTTTTCCATATCCTTCATTGCTATTCACTGTGTCACACAATGTAATACATGACAATTACATTGCACAGAATGACAAATATTCAGAACTGGATGGAAGCTTTTTTTGTTATTTGTTTTTGGTTTTAAGATTTACAAATCTGAGGAAACAACAGTCCAATAATAAATACTGCACAAGTCAAACAAATCTTGAATTTTTCATTTTTTTACATTTTAAAATATCATTATCCTAATATTTATCATAAACTGAAAAATACGTGGAAATAAGGCGCTTCTTAAACTTAATTTTTCCAGCAATTTTCTGAAATAGGTAATCCACTTAAAGCAATTCTTCTCCATTTTGTTTTGATCAATCGGAACAGTTGTTTAGCTGTTTTCCAGCTAAAGGCCAACAATTAAAACATCTCCCTGCCTTCAGATGCAATTGTCAATCAATGTTTCTCTCATTATCAACCTAGTGGGAAGCCATAAAATAATGTAATACTTGCCTGACTACAAGCATACAAATTTTCAAATATAAAACCTATTTGAAATGATAAAATAAGCTTAAGAAAATCGGTTATTCTGCAAAGAATCACCCAGCAGAGAATATCAAAAAGGCCAGCATTTTAAATCCTTGCTATTGCTATACTTTTTCTTGCTTACTCTCACTTTTGTCTTATTTTTGTCTCCACATCTTCCTCCATGTCATACATCTTTATTTGTATTTACTCTATAAATAAAATTTTATTTTTATTTACTTAGTTTTTATGTAGTCTGAAATGACAAGTTTGTATGTGTAACATATTACTTAAAGACAAAAAAAACAATAATTTATTTAATACACAGTTCTAAAATAAAGACTGTAGCTTAATTTTCTAGAAATGTATGTCAAAAATTAAGTGGATTTATCACAATGCATGACAATATGATGTGCAGAAAAAGATCTGTGCAGCCACTAAGTTATGTTTAAAAAGCAGAAGAATTATAACAAATTAGGTAGTGCTACACAAATTTATGTAAAGCAAGAAAAAAGGAGTAAGGTTTCTATCCTTATTTAATGTATTCTGTGTTATGCATTCTGAAGAATAAATTCTTCAGGGGAAGAAAATCCCAGACACCTCCAGGTTTCAGACCTGTATCTTTATTTCCTACTTTCCAGAGCTCTTTCAATAGGCCATCATAAATATTTGACTAAATCCTCTCTTCCATTCAAGACATAATCCAATTTTAATTCTGCAGTCCATTTGGGACTACAGGAATCACCCCAAGCATAAATGTAAATGCACCTTTTTCTGTATTTTTCCTCAGCTTTCACCTATTCATCCATTTCATTTCACATGTGAACTGTTTAAATACTAGAATACATTTTCAGAAGCAGGATTTTCCCGTGGTCTTTGTTTTACAGCATCAATCATTTGCAGATTTAATGCTAGTCCAGGGAATTTTCCACATGAAGAAATAGTTCCAAATAATGATGATACAGTTGCTGCTGTACTATCTCTTCACATAGATAACTTCATGACTTAATAGGAATATAGGAATATTTTTCTCCAGTCTATCATAATGTACTTTACATAGTCTAACTAAATTCATTTTAAGGAAACAAACCTCCTGCAGCAGATCCTCTACAGAATGGTTGAATCGATCCACAAATTCATCAATAAGTTGGCTGTGGGCTATGTCAACTCTGTTTTGGATTGTATATTCTTCACTACAGAGTATGCTGTAGGTTTTGCTGCAGGCTTCAAGAACATCCGATTCCACATGCTTTTCCACAACAAACTTAATCTGTTTCAGTAAGGCATCCAGATGCTGTAGATCAGAAAAGAAGCTCAGCTTTCACCTTGTCTGAACAATGAAACTCAAAGAAAAAGTCAGTCAAAAATACACCAGGTTAGATTGCTAATATGCCAAATGAAGGCACAGTGCTGTGTGACTACAATAGCTATCAGATACTTGAAAGCAACCAGCATTCTTGCCCAAGGTACTATACCTTTTCCATTCTGCCAGTGCTATAGATTTCCAGATCAAAATACTGAGGGATTTGCAGGAGATTTGCAACCTTCTCTGCATCAGCGGAATACTAGAACATCATTGAAACAAAACAAAACAGTGAAGTAAAAATAAACATCTACGCTACAAAATAAAAAAGTTTAAAGTCAGTTGTAAATGCTAGAGAGGAATTTATTTTGTAGAAAAAAGTACCTTTGAAAGCAACATAGGAAGTGCAATAATGAAATGCTCAGTCAATTTATTTCTGTCATCTATCTGCGTTTTTCTTTCTTTTGCTGTCAAGACCTGCAAGTGATCAAAAATAGCTACAGTAAATATAATTTATTCATATAGTATTAATATTTTTGATGTTGATATTAAAAACAAAAACTCATGCAAGTACATTTTTAATAAATCAAAAGAGGAGGGAAAAACATTCAGAAACATTTAGATTGAAGAGTGATTAAATAGGAGGACCATGTGTCCTAAAAGAAGTGATTGAAAACAAAAATATCACATCATCCAGACTGATATTGTTGCTGTACATTAACATGTTCTTAGGATTGAAATTCAAATATAACCCAAGTCAGTGGAACTTTTGTTACTGCTTCCAAATGAATTGCGGTCTGCCTCTCACACATTAAACAAAGTGTTCATTGTAGGACCTCAGGGCGAACTGAAGTATAATTAAGAAAGCCAAAACCAAACCTCACTGTAACAGTGACTTTCATTAACAGATTAATGGCCTCATCTCTTGACTGGAATGTAATTCTCACTGAGAACATGCATCCAAGTTCACAGAACTCATTTACAAATTTCAGTGACAGGTATGTTGAAGCTACAAATGCTGTCATCACAAAACCACCTTAAAACAATGAATAGATAGATAATAATAAATACAGCATGATTCATAAAAGCTTAGAGTTGGCTTCTTGGCTTCAGAAAAGGACAGTGGTCATATAGAATACTTTTGAAAACAAATAATTATAACAAAATATTAAAATTAGCTGAAGATTTACATATAGCAAAGCTGCCAGACTGCACAGTAAGGGTTACAAGCTAAAGTCAGAGTGGAAACTATTTCATAAGAATGTGAGTGCATAATTAGAAATCTACTCCCATTTCAGCTCAGAGAATATGCTAGTGAGATCATGAGAACATGACACACCTCTACTGACAAGTCAAGAGATCTCTGAAGTTACCAACCCACAACTCATGATCTAACTGAAAAGAAGCAAAAGCTAAATGTCATACCTACACCTCTGAGTCAGTGGGAAACAAAACATGCTTGGATGACAAGTAGCCTATTGGGTAAGCAGGAACCCCAAATGACCATGGAAGTGAAGGGGAACAGCTAAAGGTTTGTCAGTAAGGTCAGAAAACACTTCCATAGTACACAGCAGATGGATACACAGGGCAGCAAACACAACTCCCATACAAGCACACAGTGCAGCTCTCGCCCATGCCAACCAAAGCTGCTGGCTCATCAGAAGGCAAGACGAATGCAGCTAGCAACTCAGGATCCCACACTTGAACAACCCAGTCGTATCCTGGTGACCTAATATTGCTCAGTTCAGTGGCACTATTACTTAAGCTGGGTCCCTAAGGATGATCTTGACACTCTTCTGATCATCCTTCAGAAGCTGACATTTATTCTTTACCTTTCTAAAAATAGAGACATTGAAAATTTAAGACTAAGAAATTTTCTGAAGTCAACTGAAATGTAGATCTTTTGACAGAGAAAAATTCCCCAGAAAGCTAATAGTAACATTATTTAGTGTTCCAAACAGAGAATACAAACATGAATATTTCCTTTAATTTAAAGATTGTTTCATCTTCTAGAATGGTTTACAGCTAGAGGCAAAACATGAAGTTATACTTGCAATATGGTTTTAGTAACAGCAGATATTTACATGCCCATGCAAATCTGAGAAAGTACCTTTGTAGATTGCCCCCCTTATCCCTGAAATGTTTTAATAAATTATGAATTTATTAGAATATGCATTATAAAGTAAAGTACAAAAAGCAAGTTTAAATTGATGGCTTCCTGGAACATTTCCTGGCATGCTGTTTTAGGATATGATGCTAATCTGTTTTTGGTACATAAAAATTAAGAAGCTAAGTAGCTGTGTTTAGTTTAGCAATAAAGTGTGGTAAGTCTATCTCTAGATTTCACCTTAAGTAGGTCTGAGGATTCCTTTAATAATCTAGTTACGATTATTCAGAGCAAAACCTAACAGAAGTACCAAATGTTCACATGGTTTTATTTCATTACATTCTAATCTAAATAAGAGGGGGACTAAAAAAAAAATCAGGGAAAGAAGTTTGGGAAGCTAAGACTCTTTTGGAGTGCAAACGCTGTATTTATAGAGAATGCAGGTGAAAGCTGGTGATTACCCTGACCTGGTGACTTACACTCAAAAGCTTGAAGTGCAAGCCTAGCCTTAGGAATGGAATTCAGCTGATGTAGATCTCCAAAAAACCACTATATAATAAAAAAAAAGAACCTAGAAAACAGTATGGTCAGTATATTAAATTTTGAAATTTTATGAGCACTCAACGGAAAAGGCCTAAGAGGATGGATATATAACACCACTGAAGCATTCAGGTTGGGATGGACCTTGCAAGGTTGCAGTCCCATCCCTCCCTCCTGCTCAGAACCAGCTCTGGGGTCAGACGATGGTGCTCAGGGTTTTGTCCAGTGAGATCTTGAAAACCACCAGTAATGGAAACTGCACTATCACTCAGCCCAGCCTATTTTCCAGTACTTAACTACTCTTGAGATGAAGCTACTGTTGGCTTCTTCTTCAAATTTAATGTCCATATTAGCAGCACATTCCTTTTTATGAAGACAGCCAAAGATAATCTTGTTCTACTCCTGAGCTCTATACTCTCAGTTCTAATCTAGATGAGCAGTGAAGGCTGTAGATGCTGGTAGATTCCAAGTCTAAGCCAGGGGTATGATAAAAAGGAAATTTAAAAATAATTTAAAAAATACTTTCATGCTGTAAGTTCGCATTACTTAATTCATCAAAGCAAAACCCAAAGTGAAAAAGAAAAAAAATAAATCTAAAAACAGAACATTATTTTTCTTCAAAAAACGTTCACATGAAACACCAACTATAAAAATTCCATTCAGAAGTGTCAAAATGTGGTAGTAAAGAAAAATATTTTATGTTAATATGGTAACATCATAACACACACAGGTCTGAGCTACCCATTATAGTACCACTTACTCTTTTGCCAGTGCCTCTGCCTACTGGAGGGTGTGCTTCAGCAGCTTGTCTGATTGTACACACCATCAGTTCAATAAGAGCACTCTCCTGCCGGTCAGACATTGCTACGGAGGGAAGAGAACAACAAAGATCAGCTTTGATGATGCCTGAAAGGCATCCTAAAGAAGATAAATCTGTGAATGCAGTTGTAAAATACAGGAAAGAGAGAAAAAAAGACATCATTTTGTTCATAAAACGAAAGCTGGCTTGCTCACGCTATGCATTACCAATCACATCACCTTACAATGGATATGGCAGAACTGAAAGAAGTCCAGAGAAAGGCAGTCTGGAAAAATGATGAATGAAGGGGAGGAATACAACAAAGATCTATAAAATAATGAGTGTCACGGAGGACAGAGAGGGACTGACTATTCACTGTCACTCCTTACAAAATATTCGCACAATCATGAAGCATTATTTCTGGTCTTTTTGAAGTACTTCTGTTCACATCTAGAGGGCCAAACCCCGCTAGGCTATACAGAAACCTCAAAAGAACCGAAGTGCCAGGTCCTTTCCTAAGGAAATTATCGTATAAATAAAAGACCACACCTGTAGCAGTGAATACCGAAAGTAAGACATTGAAACACAGAGATGACTGACTACCTTGTTTTTTCAACCACCTAACCACTGTGAAGAAGAAAAATCCTAAAGAATTATAAGGGACTTTGAATGACAAACATTAGCAACTCTTTGCTACCAACCTCCCTGGCTACCTGATGCCCACAGATATATTCTTAACCAAAGAAGATACAAAATTAATTGCAAAAGAATTCTCTTATTTTTTTCATTTTAAGAATTTACTAGGATTTAACAATGTCTGGAAAATCCCCATATTTAACTAACACCACCTGAAGTATCTGTTTACTCAAAATTGTATTAGCGACTGAATTTACTGAAATGTTCATGTATGCACTAGTCATTTAAACATTCAGACAAGAACCCTAGACTTTAATATTAGGCAACAACACTACAGCAGACTTCATGAGTTGGAAAGTGTAATGCAAAACTGCTGCTTCTGAAGCAGAGTGCATTAAAAATGGATGAAATTAAAATCTAAGTAATTTGTACTTCCTCAAATATGCTGTCTAAACAAACCACAACAAATACTTCTATCTGCCACAGTGAAGCACTTTTTTAAGGCATATTTAAAAATATTGCGCAATATCAGTACAGCAGAGAGGTTAAACAAATACCTTCTTCTCCTTGGACTGGTTCCTCCAAGAGCAATTCTGTCATGCATTCCCAGTCTTTCAACAGTTCTTGAGAGCTCTCCCACAAACTGTCCACCAAGTAGGCTGCATGTTCATGCAACTAGAAAATCCAAAGCAATGGTCAGTACAGTGTTCTGGTACAAGCTGTAGTTCCTCAACTGTCACAATCATTTAGGCATGAACTGTGTCCATGTCTTCTTACATGAGGGGGAAAGAAAATTCAGTCTGAAACTAACTCTGGAAGGTCTTCCTTCATCTGAACGATACAACTGCATGACAATGGCAATAAACTTCAATGGAAAATGGAAGTAAAATAAATTGAGCTTATCTTTCCATAAAGTAGCTTGTTGTGAAAAACCTCTCAAAGTTCTGACTTAGGAGACAAAAACTTACATATTCTCACTTTGCTACTGTATTATAAAAAGGAGAGGTGGTGAGACATGAGACTAAAAAGGGTCTGTAATACATTCTTCCTCAACAGGCATTTATTTTTCTGTGCAGAACATGGATATGGAAATATTTTTTAATTTTAGTATAATATCCAGTATCAGTGTGAGACAACAAAATGAAAATTTGTATAATGGTGTTTGTATTACATCTAACTGCTGAGACAGGAAAAAAAAAAGGCATTATTTATCAACACAATTCAAACAATACATCAATAACTGAGACAGAGCATTTAAAATTTTAGGAATACAGTAATTATAAAATAAGATACTTACAAATGTCATGCTAGCTGTATGTGCATTTACATTTTGAAATAACCATGTAACAACCCAAAGTCATCAACAGGTATAGTTTTGTGATTTGTCTACAACAGATGGAGTGCCAAAAGTGTTGTATACTAATTCTGTTTTCTCGGAAAACAGCAGCAGAAATCCTACTGATTTCAGGGGGTATATAATGAACAGTAACTTATTTTTAATTGTAAAAAAGGGTTCTATATGAATGAGCACAACTGTTGTAAACTGAGAAAAATGATACATGGGCTTCTACAGATTTAGAAACTAATCTTTAAACACTATCAAAAAGTAACAAACACATTGTGCAGAGCTGAATTGCTTGCCAGACATGGAAATGACTTCTAAACTGGAAAACACCTAAGAGATTATGCAAGGGGATGCTAGTACGTCTATTTATTTTTCAGTTTCTGTAAACTTTGAGGAAAATGTCAGCTTTCTGATGCTTGTCATAGATGCACCTTTACTGTCTTCTGAATGCACGCTCTCAGACTGCAGTGATTACATCTTCTCATCCCATGCAGATGGAAACTCCCAGATCTCTGGATCTTTATTTACACTGGAGTCATGATATCCTACTTCGTTTGAAACAACCTTCTCAAAAACAGCGATAGCAAAAGCTAACCCTGAGAGAGAAGGGTCTCAGCAAGCAGCGTATGGCTTCTATGAGAAAACATTTTGCTGATCATGGCTTTGGGAGCAAAAACGAGTTCATTGTCTTGTCAGATGCATGGACAAGATAATTCTAGGTAACTCCCCACCACACACACATGGATTTAAGGCATGAAGAACACTAGGAACCATAGTTCAGCACGGGCACCATATCAACAGATAACAGCTTTTAGTGAGGGACCGGCAATGAACACCAACTTTGACACTGAAATCTGAAAGAATATGTTTGTCCTAATGAAGCAGGCAAGTAAGCCCATTTTCTTATGCTGTATCTTCAGAACAAATATTCCTCATTCTCTGCCAATTAGTCTCTTTGGGCATGTGGTTTTTCTCATCTTCTAGTGGCTGTGGGCATATCTAAGGCCCATGGCTGTTTGATCTCTTCACCTAATGACCTATCACTGGGTGATTTACATCAGGTAGCAAAAACTTCATAATTTCTCTGCATTCAGCTCAGGATTTTCACTAGAAGACAGAATGATCTATTGTAATCTACTTTTTGAAGAAGCTGTAGCTAGAAATACATTTAGATAGCTGACTGGAGGCCCACACAGGCAGCAATGTTTCACCCAGTCTTGTTGGTTCTTAAGGTCTTTCTAAACAGTGCTAACATTAACTAAACATTAACACTGTACCTAAGTATTATCCTTCCTTCTCAGAATCTCTGATTGTTTATTTTCATCTTCACAGTCAAGTCTTTTGTTCAAGCACTCATAAAAATTCAAACACCTGGTAGCAATACCTTCCTTTTTTGCTTTTTATACAAAAAATACTACCATTCATTCTATTGAGAAATGTTTCTGACACTCTTTTCTTTCAGTCCTCCTTTGCCACCTATTAATTACTGAATCAAATGTATCATTTTTAAACATTTCTCCTTTAGTATCTTCAAAGCTTTCTGTACCTGACAGTTTATCTTTTCAATTTTTCCTCCATTCAACTGCCTTTCCTTGCCTAAGTTACTGTTAGCACTTTTACCATAAAATATCCCATATACGTAACCTCGATAGACATTAACTGTTAGCACAATCCCATCATGAATGTGGCCATCAAACACAATTGTATATACGCCTGCAGTCTCCATCCTCAGATGTTTTTAAGCTGCAGCTGCATAAAGCCCTGAGCAACCTCATCTTGTATCACAGCTGACTCCACTTTGACCTAAACTGCCCCTCAGATCCCTTTCCGTTCCAAATTATGACATGATTCTGATTGTAATTTTGTTCCTTTCTGGTTCAAATAATTTTACTTCACAAAGAGTAACCCCAGAAGTATACTCCTAACTTGGTCATCTAAAAAAAAACAAAACATCCAGTAACATTTCTACGTAGCAATGAAACCTGGTAGACACTGTACTACCAGCAATGAAGCAATAAGTACATACCCTGGGGACATGCAAGAACAAACTAGACCATGCAGAAGATTTTTGGATTGAATTTGCTTGATGGACAAGGAGATGGGGGCAGAGTAAAGGACATACAGTATTTCTGAAATTATGAAAAAACAACCAACTTGTTACTGTATGTTGCTAAGTCACTACTTAAGTTCCAGGTTCTATTAAACAAGTGAAAATTAAAAATGTTTTTTTTTTACCTCACTTTCAAGAAAGAAAAGAACCAACATTCTAATGAGGTTTCCATTTGGACTATTTCGCCCCCTCCTCTTTGCTAGAGCCTCTTCAGCTTGGGGATCATGTCTGCTGAACAGTCTAAAAATAAGCAAAAGGAGCTGTGATGTTTATCAACACAAATCTTATTTCTTCAAAAACGTGATGAACAGTCATTCCTGATACAGCAGATTTGTTCATAAAGCACAGCAAAAGCATCTCAAGCTCTTTCAAGGGAAAGAGGGCATGACCTCTTCCTGCCTGAAGAGGGAAATTTATCTTCAGTCTTCAAGTTCACGGGGCTGGAGGAATTTCATACAGGAAAAAGCTCTCTAGAACATATTTATACAGAAGGATTTTGTACAGCTTTATATATTTGCCTAATTTACAAAATTTTATATTTTTAGTTATCAAATCTTACAATGGTGGTAGCACTTACAATGTCTCAAGAACTATGGTTGTATCTTCACTGTAGTCGTGCTGACTAACATGTGGTTTAAATAAACCTAACATCCCACTAAACAAACAACCTTGGGTACCAGTAGCGGCACAAATGATAAAGCAAGCTACCAGTCAAGTTACTTTTTTTTTTTCCCAGGTGAATTATACATTCTGCATTGAGTTCTCTGATACATGGCTAGCTCCAAACTACTCTCACCACTCAAAGTTAGCAGCTTACAGAGATCTCAGATATACCTACATTTCAGCTACAGCAATGATTGTTTTACTTTGAGAAGTTTAAAAACTGCTCCTTGCTTTTACAGAGAAGCTGCAGCCATGAAACAAATTCTAAATGTGAAACCTAGTATTCTGATTTCACTTACAGAATTCATTGAAAAGGATAAATTACTCACACATTTGTATTTTAGGTAAAGACATCATGCTTTTTCCTCTGCTCATCTAACAGCTCAGAGACGAGCACCTCAGCAGGTGCTGAAATATCTTAAATATCCACCTCAGGGCTCAGTCAGTGATCTTCTGTATCATTTGCCTTCCTTTGCTAACTACAGAGGGGGAAGCCACTGACTAGCTTACACTTGGAAAGTGGTATTTAAATGTATAAAATTATTCAAGATAAATCCCAAATTCTTTGAGAAGATTCTATTTAAAATTAACAGTTTAATAGAATTTAGATTCTATTTAAAATTAACACGTCAGCAGAAACAAAGAGAAAACATCTTAGGATTGGGACATTTTTTCCTCGATGCTATTTACTTATACATAGAGAGACATATTTTAACAGAACATAGCATAGTATCTCATTGTAAAGAAAAGTTAGGATAAAGTTTTGTCTTTACACTAAGGTATAGATATGTCTTAAAACAAATTTATTTACCATCTGTTCATGTTTTGAAGTTATTTTTCACATATAATTTATAAGGGAATTTCAGTATGCAACTTTAAAAAAAAACATTTCCTTGTAAAACATCATGTAGGAGACTAAATGTAACCAAATTTTGTAAATTAATTCCTCGAAACAGACAATGTCTGATCACAGAGATGTAATTCCAGAAATCCACACACAAAAGCTTACAGGTACAATGTAGATTTCTAAATCACAAATAAACCACAGAAAATTAAAAAAAAAAAAATGGCAAAGAAAAACTGATATTTTTAATTGATTTTTTTCTGTTGTGTATCTTGGCAGTATCTATATAGTAGATAGTATAGTATCTATAAATATATTAAAGAATTTTGATCTCCCAATCACTGAGGGAAAAAGAACACTACTACTAAAAGACATTTAACTGCAAACCCTAAAATCAGAAGGTTAACTACCATGATGTGGCAATGTCCTGCTCACAGTCATCAGTGCAGTATGATTCACATCCATGGAAACAATAGCTCATTTCCTTTGGCATCTTTCAGTACATGAAAGATGGAATCATAATGTAACGTATTTTCAGGGGACGTCAGTGAATTTAGAAACAATGTTATTAATGATTAATATATAAAAACCTCTTAAGTTCACAATTTCGAAATAAACTGGTTTAAAACTTTGTAAAAATTATGACTGCATACCAGGTAGACTGTCAGGGATGGATAAGCCCTATGCTACCATGACAGTAGTTCAGCAAGAACTTCAGGATTTAAAACAACTTTAATATAGTGAGGTGTGTGCAGCCTTTTACAATTAGTCCTTGAGGAGTTAGTAAAGATTATCTGAATTCTAGAACAAGAGAAAGGTAAATCTCATTTCTTTACGTATTTAGGTTTTTATTTTAAAGAAGATAGTAAGCCTGTATTTGAAATTACACATGTAACTTGATAAACTGGTGTATTTTGTCCTACTGCTTTTTTTGCCTTTTGATCTTACCAGTACTAGAAAGCATTTATGAATCTGGTCTTCTCCCATGGTACCTGATAACTTACTTCTTGTGAAGGAATTCTCCAGCTGCTACTGCAACAGGCCGGTGTGCTGAATATACCAAGTGATAAACATTCTCACAGTCTTCATTTGACAGAGCTTCTTCACTTCCACTGAAATAGTCAGAAAACACCTCAAGTAAAACTAGTGTTTTGTTTCAATCCCCTCACCTCCTATAAATTGCTTTTGACAGTTACAAGATTGATTTCCTTTGTACAAAATCCTAGATGGAGGAACACTAACATCAAAAGCCTTTGGTTTAATTTCCAAATACGGAAACATTTAAGGGGCCTGTAAGACTGAAAATTTGTTTGATATTCTTCTCTCAGTTGTACCAATACATACAATAATTAATGTAAAAAAAATCATCACTGCTTACAAATCTTGCCAGCTTAATTACTCAAACCACCACACTAACTACAGTATGCATACTGTAAGATACCAAGCACTTATTATCAAGCATTATTAAACTAAAAACCCAGAATGTTACATGAGGAAAACACAATGGCTTGATTACATTTATTTATTTCAATGTCTGTTTGCTTTTAAAGCTAGTAATCCATTAAATATTTAAAATGTTCAAAGTTTGAACTGAGCAACCCTTCCTCTCCTTCAGCCTCTTGTCCTACTCCATTCTCAGGAGTTGGGTCTCTTCACATGGCACTCCTGCTCTTTGGCACTGCTGGGCAGGAGGCACCTCTCTGCTGGTTTGGTGAGTGGGAAAGAATACTCCCAATTCCCGCTGCAGAGAGGGCCAGGCCAGGAGGATAAATCTGTCTCAGCTACAGAAGTAGTCAGAAATTCTCTGGACAGAGGCAGTGGAAAACTAAACCCAGATTTCATCACCATACGTGACACAAAACTAGCACTGAACATATACCAATAAAATCATCTAATAATCTCTTTAGGATTGAATCATGATGTGGGCTTAGAATTACAATAGTAATAATATATATAATAATAGTAATAGATACAACAAAAAGTCAAAATCGCTCTTACAGTAGCTATTGTGCTGACTAGACACATACTCTCACTTTCAAAATTAAGGAAGTGAATCTGATCACCCCATGCTGTGCTGGATGAAAGATGATGAAAAGTTTATTTTGTGTAATTATTTATTGACAAGAACAAGGAATCTTTTACCTCTGTCTCGATAAAACAACAGATTTGGCACCTCTGTAGTTTCTGAGCTTAAGTCAGATTTTTTGTGCAAGTTTTCTGAAACTTGGGAAATTTTTCCTTTTGCAGTGGTATTTTTGAAAAATGCTATGAGCAATGGATCTGTAATTATATTCCATCAGTGATAGCACTGACATCGTATACAGGAATAGTATTACTTCCCTCCTTGTTTAGTCAGTATTTATCAGAAACATTAATGCATCAGGACTCTATGCATCTTATTTGGCTTTGTACCACAAATAATTTTTAATTGGTCATACCCCTTCACAATTGTTTGTAACATCTTTTCAGAGCTCCTACCTGCCAGAATGCTGCCCTGTGCTGTTCAATGTGACCTTTATTCTTCTAGTCCAAGAATGATGCAAGCACATTGCTTGCACTTAGCTATGTTTTAATCCCGCAACCAAAGAGAAAACAGGACAGGGAAGAAAAAGATGCACTGGACAAATATTGACCTAAAATCTTACTGCATTCCCAGTATCCCAAAAGGGATAGTCATGTTCTACATGTTGTTTGTGATATTTGTTATATTTGCTTTAAAAAACATAGTAGATGAGAGATTCCCCTTCTTCCTGATATTATAAGTCTAATATCTGCAAAGCAGCGTGACCCATAAATAAAAAATGAAGCCCAGATTTATTTTACTAAGAGGGAAAGATAGTCTCATCTTTCATATCAATTCTCCATGTCCAAAAATTTCTTCAGAGTCACCAAGTATAACCTATGACGCAGGAGTTCTATGCATCCGTTTGTAACGTGCATTTTTTTTTTAACATGCTTCAGGGAACATGTGATAAAACCTTAGGAAAGAGTTCCTCCAGCAGCACATTCATGAGCCTGCTGTGGTCACAGGCTACTAAAGACAGGTTGGTTCAAACAGTCTGCACATGGGCTGGTTACATGTGGAATGGATCCTTACCTCAGGGAAGCCACTGTACCTGGGTAAGAAAGAACTGGGGCCTGGAAGCATGTCTCCTCCTGCCAGGCCCAGTGTTTTAAACCGCAAGATACCACCACCTCCACATAACCCAAGTAAGGGTGTTGAAGCAATCATTTTCTCCCTGTCAATGTACTTGCCAGATGATTCTTTTCCCAGCTCTATCAGATAATCTAATCTCCTAACCCACCACCTTTGTTACTGCTAGAGTTACTTCAGCAAATGTAACTCGTGCTCGCAATCATTTTGCCCTTGGCAAATGGTATAAATGCTGCCTGGCATTTTTCCTCAACAGCGGATGCACTAAAACTAAGAGTCTCAATAAATATGTATGTTTTTATACTTTGCCTATTGCATTTCTATGAGATCGAGTATTTCATTTTAGCTTCATGATCACACCATTATATATTCAGTTCATAGTAAATGTAAAGTATCAGATTGACTTCATTACGCAAGTGAAGAAATCAAATCAATTAAATATTACTGGCTTAGGTAACTTTTAGAGGGAATACAGTAATTTTGAAGAATACTCACTGAAGTATTAGCGTGACTAATCGAATGGCTTCCACAGCAACATCGTATTCCTTATCAAGTGTCATTGATACAATGCGATCCTGAAAAGGAATTTTATTACAGTGACAAAAAAACACACACAAAAAGCTATCTGATTTAGAATGCTATAGGAAAAAATAAGTACTTTTGTGAAGAAAGATCTTTCAGCTGGACACATGAAAATCCTTTGATACCATTCAATCATTTAATTTACATCTTAGGATGCTGTCTGCTATGTGCACAAAGAACAATAGGTATGCACACAGAAATGCGAAAAAAAAAAGCTTGTATACTTTCCAAGAAAAAAGCGAGAAGACTTTGGAGTTGAAATATAGTTCTGCATTGGTCTTACTTAACATTTCTCTTCAAAAGGAATGTGTTTGAGTTGGTGGCACAAAAAATGCCCTACTTCATTCCCCTGTAAACAAATAATTTTAGATAAAGTTATATATATGCAATAATATTGCATCTTATGCATATTTGGAAATTCTGTGCAGAAAACTGCACATAAATATATGCACCTGCATATTGCCTATAAAGCTGGGGCCTTTATGCCTGGCAACACTCTAAGGTTTTAATTTGGCCTCGACTATTACACTATAGAGCTGCCACAAGCAAGTGGGAAATTCCACAGTATGACATTGTATTTTCCTATATTCTTTCCAGCACAGAAAAGCATACCGCTTTCCAATCAAATATGATGATTCTACACCTTTTAAGGACCCAGCAGTTATGAGGAGAAGCCCCCTAAAGTTCTTTATGCTTAGTTTCAGTTTGCTTACTGTCTACCTGCAACACGTGATTAGTGAGTGTTGCTGTCCTCCCTATGTGGAGAGAATTTCTATCCATCCATAAAAACGTCGTATGTCTTGATGTTTTTGTTTGGCTGATCAAGTTAATGAAAATAAATTGGGCCATGTGAAATAAAACTTTATTTCTGTGGCTTGAACTGATTCGTAAAGGACTGTGTACTAATATATGATATTTGGGGATGTGAAAAATAGAAGGCAGGAAAAGAAGAAAAGTAAGTGTGTATTGGAAAGCAACAGCACAAGTCGCCAAGAACAAATCAGAACAGAATAAAAAGTGTTTACATCTTTTTTACTCTTCCAGGCATAAAAGGCTGATTGTGTATATAAAGCAACAGATGCTTATTTCAATATTGAAATTTAGAAATAGTATATAAATAATGCATTGTGGCTGTCTTAAATGTTTCCTACTTAACAAAAACAGGTCTGCACAGACACTTCTTGTCACTAATACTGACTGCACCTCTGTCACCATGAAGTTCCTGAAATCTGATGCATTTAACTCTTACAACTAGACAGTCTTCGAGACTGTGAGAAGAGACTCAGGCAGTGAAATAATCTTCCAAATAGGAAACTGTGTATGTTTACAGGATAAAAATTGCTGCCAATTTTCCAAAGTTTGTGGCCAGGCAACAACAACTAACAATAACAATAACAACATCAAGAGAAGCAACTGTGAGAGCAATACTACTCTTAAAAGTATTGGTGGAATTTCACACAGCTCTTCAAAGTCTATCTGAAATGGCAGGAACCACAAGGAGACAACTAACTGCATAGAAAGGAGTAAGAACACAAGTGTAAAACTCCTTTTACACCTCTGAAGGAATCCTGGAAGAGAAGGGCTCTTCTCTCCTGACTACAGAGCAAGAGCTCTCTGAATTTGGAGTCTTTGACAATGACAGATGTGACAATGCTTCTTTATCCAAAAAGGCTGTTCACTCAGTTTTGCCAGGAACACCAGGCATAGCATTAACAGCACGGATGTGTAATTTCTTATTTTCTGCCCAAGTGCCAGAATCTCTCAGTGACGGTACCTGTCAGCCCGATACCACAACCCTTGGAAATGAGACTTTAACACCTAATGCCCCTGGAAGATGAAATTTCAGCAGTGTTCTCGGTTCCAAAACCCAGCTGTTCAATCTGCTTTGACAGAAATTTTCCATGCAGCAGAATATAACACATCTCTATTTTTAACTTGAAATATTAATTTACACTATAAAGATCACTTTGCATTATTTATTAGGCTGTGAACAACACTTGCTGAAGAACAAATCCGCTGCTGCCATTCAAGACATGGAGACAGCACCATCTTGCAAAGGGTCAGGGATGAGGACCGAGAATTAAGTGGCTACAGCTATATCTGCTGATGCTTTGCCTTTGCACTGACTGCAAAAGAGCTAATTCACATATTTTCCATATTGGTTCAAATAATGTTTGCATCAGACCACAAAACAAAAGTCTCTGCTTTGATGGACAAACATGGACAAAGCTTTTTTTTTTTTGGGGGGGGAAGGATAGACAGGACCTATTTTCAGGCAGATCACCTGCTAGCAACACAAACAGAAATGCAGTAAAGAACAGACATCTTCCCTTTGGAGAAGTGACATTATCAGATCCTTCACATGGCTATGTGGTAAAATATTAACAAGCCAATATAAGTAATTCTGGAACAAATTTGTTTATGCTTTTAACAACTAGACCATCTCTAGAGAGATTTCTCCTGACAATTTGAATGGATTGAGCTGAACCGCAGCTGAGCTTCGCGGGTGGATTCAGGGCTACTGCCGAAATACGTGTAAAGAGCCATGGAACCGAGAAGAGCATTTCGCATTCTGCATGGGGTGGTGGGGGAGTTTGTGGTGGCACAGCATTTAAGTTTGGTATCATAGATAGCAAGAGTCTTAATATGAAAGTTTACTCCAGCCTGGTGCCAAAGGCTGCATCCCTGTCAGCACAGCTGCAAGCTGATGTGCAGGGAAGGGCAGCTTTTTGTTCTACTGAATGTGGCTGGAACAGAAACAGGTGAATCTTCCATCGTGTTGAACTTTTTTTTTCCTTATGCTCACACAGACTTTGACCTCACCTTTTCCATAATTTACTTCATAATGTAACAGATTTATATGGACAAAACATCTTTACTGGAACAGAGGAAAGATAAGACTCCTAACAGGGCTCCCTTTCCTCTGATTTTTTCTTCTCACAGCAGTGAAAATTCTTTGCTCCATTCTAAACCAAGAAACAATGTACAGGCTAACATGACTTCTAACGAAGAAAATTGTCTGCACTGTGAAAAAAGCCAGGAAGAAGTATTTAGATGTTTCATGTTCCTGTAGATTTTTGAAGCACATTACTTCATAACCATTTCTCACAGTGCCTCCCATGGTCAGTTTTGCTGATGGATGGGACACGTTCAGACTCTAAGCATAATTACTCAGCTACCAATTAAAGTGTAGCAGGCTAAGAGAGAAGGAAGCATCCAGTGCATCTAGTAAAGAGAAGCAGATACAGGACCATGAGAGTTTTAGATGCCTATTTCAAAGAAATCACAATAGAGAAACAGCAGATACAAGCAAATCTTTAAGTCTGCACAGAAGGAACAAGAAATGCTGCACAGGCTTGGAGGGTTCATGTTTCTGGAGAGCTACCTAATTTCTGGTTGTCCTGAGATGTTAAGCAAACCACACTTACGGAGGTGCTACAGAAGTAGTATGAAGCTTCTACCATCCCTGTTTGCCAGGTACTCTTCTATGAGAGGAAATTTTGAGTTTACTGCAGTGGTTATTGAAACTGACTTTACAATACCAGAAGAATATAGGCGCTGAAGGATCTCACAAAATGTTCTATTTTGTCTCCTACTTAAAAATCAACTCTCTAGCTCAGTCTTGACAGATATCTATTTAACTTGCCCTTAAAAACCTCAAAAGAAGGAGATTCCATCACCCTTCTCATCAGTCTGTTCTATTATATTACCACAATTTTGGACAAATAGACTTTTTTAATATCTAGATTTTACCACAGCATATTTTCTTTTCCAATTCTCAAATGAATGTGGTAGTGAAAGGCTGATTACCACTGTGTTTTTATCAGTTGTTTATACAGAATAAATATATGGCGTTTTCTGTATTTTTTGCTTTTCTAGATCAAACTGGAGGATTTAAGAGTAACTGCAATGGCAGACATAACTAGCCAAACAGTATAAAATCTACAGTAAGTTTTTGAATCTGCTGCACAGTATTTATGAATACTTAAATCTCCACTTCTTTTCTAAACAGGATTTTTCATCATCATTGTAATCAAGATTTAAAAAAAAAAAATTAAATTAGTCTTTCATTGGGGTGATAGCCTTTACCATAGTTCTGTGTCCAAAACACAAAAGCGATGGTAAAAGGTGCCAGCAGAACTGGTGACTGTGCCTGGAAGCTTTCTTTACAGAGCATCCAAGCAGAAGCAATGACAGCATTTCCAGTCATCTCTCCAGATACTTCACTTGTGAAGTAACACTGATATGTCACAAAATGAATTAACAGACACACTCTTGTTAAGATATTAATCAAAAATTAATAGGGGAGGGGTGGGGAGGGAGAAAGAGAGAAGGAGAGAAGGAGGAGAGAAAGCGCATTGTAAACTTCTGTCTTATGAACCATTTTTTCAGGCTGTTACTTTTGGATTTATTTTATGTGAAAACCCCTGTACAAGTCCTTCAAATTCAGTAAATCTAAAATTAAATAAGCAGAAGCAGATTGAATAATGACAATAAATAAATGACAATAATACAGATAAATAATCACGTTGGCCAAGCCAGATAAATTTTACAAGATAAACACTGTGAAATTAATTTGTCTTAATCTCAGCATTCATTAATAGTTTTGCTATGGTAGTTACAAGCCTTGTGACAAGCAAATAAGTATATTTTTGCATTTAATATACGAGTCAAAGACTGGAACATGATGAGATAGATGATACTTTTATTTTCTGTACTCCTCTTACCTTGAATCTATTAGTGAACAGCTCCAGTTTTGGAAATAACTCTCTGTTGGTATACAGACTCTGAAGAGCTTTCAAACACTTCAACCTCACTTCACCTTGCTAAATAAAACACACTAAGATTAGCTGATATAATATTCTAATCAAATGCCATGAATATTAAATAATATAATTTCATAATTTGTTTAATGTACATTTACAACTTTATGCTAATGAGTTACCAAAGCCAATTTGCAATTCAGCTAAAAACCAAAAACCACATGCAGCTGCCTACAAACAATGTTAATTTTTCTATTTGCATGTATAAAGAATTTAATGTGGCATTACTTTAATGTCTCTTACTGTTTCCCTTTTCCTTTCAAGTAACTCCACAGTACAAAAAGACAAACAAGCCTGTAAGCAAATACAAAATAAAGACATCTGTTTTCAAGGTGGTTGGTGAAAAGATAGCACAGCAATTTATCTTTAGGCAAGAGATTAACAAGTAAATTTTTCCTGATATTTGCTGCTTACAATCAATGGACAACTGTTCAAAACAATTGAGTGTAGGCTGTATGTCTGAGTTGTTCTGGTGGGCAGAACCTAACTCCCAGCTACTCTTTAGACAGGGATCGCTTTGATCTGGTGGGCTGTAGGCAGGAAACATGGACATCGCAAGGCCATGGTTTACTGATCAAGATTTGTCACCTACAGAACACTGATGATACGTGGTTCCCCTGGGCACATGTGCATCATCTGGCTGGCTGCAAATGTACTTCACATCTGCAAAGTCTTGGTAAACTATGGGTTCTTGTTAAAAAATATTTGTAGGTAATAAAAAGGTTATAAACATAAACCTGCTTTTCATTTCTGAGTCTGTCTATTCTATAATCAAGTCTGTATTAAAAAAACAGCTCAAGCTCAAACCTGAATGAACATTCAGAGACTGACATAGAAACAGAAGCTAAAAATCAATTTTTAAGTTTCCTTTTCACCAATTTGAAAAATGGCAACAGAAGATAGAGGCACAGACAGAGGCAACCCCTGGAGATGACTGCCCTTCTTGGCAGACAAACACTAAGAGGATTTACTGTCTCTGACAGCAAAAAGGTCAGTTTTTTAAAATGGTGTTCAAGGCTGAAATTCATCTCTTCAGAGAGGGAAGAGCACATTAGTTTGCTAATCCTGTTATGAAGGTTTTAAAATAGAGTCAGTGGAGATTATTGACAGAAACCCACAACTAAGCACAAACAGCAATGACCTGGATGAGAATGTAAAAAAGGCAGAAGTGAAGCTGTACATGGATGTACTGCACTGAAGTCCAGAACAGATGAGGGAAAATGTGCCACGGATCATCAATACACCAGACACAAGAAGTTTCCTGAGTAACTATGAGAACCATAAGTAGTACATAAAGTGAGCATTAATGTGAGATTTTCACATCCCAAATATTCTTGGGGAAAAACACAGCAGAAATTTCTTGCCTACCAAGGGTACAGATGTTCAAGTTCAAGTAATTCCTAAGAAACTTAGGATAAAAGGTGGAAACACATTGATTCAGGGCAATAAAATGAAGAGACTTACGTAACTAAAGAAATTAGTTTACTCAACTAAGGAACTTCTTAGGAGGTCAAGCACAAGAGGAATTCAAAAAAAAATGCAAAACCAAGAAACTGGGGTACCAGTAGGCAAGTCTTCCAGACAGTGCCAGTGAAAACCAAGCTATTAAGAGATCTTGTACTTTTGGAGGGCTTGCATGTTTTAACTGGTTCTTACTCGATCTTTTTTTTCAGTAAGTGCTTCCTTTTGTACTTTCCCCCTCCATTCTGTCCCCCGAATGTCTCTTTCTCTCCATTTGTTTCCTTTTCATCCTTTGGCACACAGTTCAGCTAACTCTGACTCTTCCCCTATTCTCTCTCACCCTGTACAGTAAGCATAAACCACATCAAACCAAAAAAAACAATCACATAGAAAGCGTATCAGGATACTAAACAGTCAGATTAGCTAGTGATTTATAGACTGAGAACCCCAAGGCACATCTGAGGCTTGCAACAATAAATATTACAAAACAGCAGAGGCAGGAGAGCAGCTTGATGGTATTCTTCCATGTCTGGTCCAGATGGAAAACTTTTATTTTTTCTAATGCAACACTGTAATTGAAAATTTGTCTGATAGGAAAGAACATACTAACTTTAGGATAGCTGAGGTAAAATATATGTTAAGGCTGCAGACGCATGATTAGACTCTGGAGGATGTGAGAAAGCTATTGGACATGACATAAGAAATTGCTGGATGCAACAGATCACACTGTGAGAAGCTAACACAAGTCACAGATAGTGCCTTGAGGAATGGATAGATTTCACAGATGGTTAAAAGGAGTTATGTGAGAAATGGCTGGACTTAACACACACTAGAAAGGGATTGATAGCTGTGAAGCACAGCAATACTAGATTCTCTCTAATGTTGAAGTGCTACTTTGTGAAAATGTTCTGCTAGGATTACAGTGCCCAAAACTCCACTGTTGCTTTTAGGTATGCACTCTCAGTAGTGTCTGTAGAGTAAATAATTGTTAGGGCTCATTACAGCTGTAACAAGGATCTTCCTCCTACTCAAGATTTGTAAAATTGAGATGAAATGTAGAAGTTCGGCAGGTTTAGAGAGGAAAGCAATTGCATATCTTGTATCTAAAAGCACAGAGGCTATTCTTAACAAGTGAACTACTAGTCCAAGTCAAAGGAAGATGCATATCCGTGACAGCTATAGCTAAAGCAAAATATTCAGCAGCAGTATAGTCTCTTCCTAAATGATTTTCTTCAGACTTCAGAAAAAGAGTGACCAAGCCATATCCTTTGCATGAATATGCTGAATATTTACATGAATATGCTGAATATAGGGATTTCTGTAAGTTAGAGAAAAAAAAAACAACTTTTTTAAAAAAGATGTTAACTATTAGTTATGCAAGTCATGAGAATGAACTTGCAGACTTCTGAATTTTTCCAGCAGCATTATTAGAGAAAAAAAAAAAAAGTAGTCTAAACCAGCATGCCAGAATTTAACAAGCATTTCAACACTATATGTAGGTCTCACCTGCTTTTCTTGGACATTCCTAGCAAGACTGTTTAGAGTAAAAGAAGTATGTCTAGTCTTTTTGGTGAAAGTGGGATGATGGCTAATCCCATTTGTAGCCTGATGTAGAAAAGTATCCCGTACAGTCAGGAGCGTAAAGCCCTGTTCTATTAGCATTAGAAATGGTCTACACTTGCAGGAACTGACTGGTATGTGGGCTTGATACCACCCAGAAAAGGCAGGTTGTGGATACCATTAGTACTAAAGAACAGTGGTCAGACAGGAAAGAACCTTCAGATATATGTATCTTTTCAACTCCACCTAACCTTTAAACTTTTTTTTTTTTTTTTTTTAATACAAAGCTAGAGACCTTGAACAATTTCTAGTGTAATAAAGGCTGAAAGGCCAGGGTGATGGCTGCTCTCCAAAACTAACTCAACCAACCATCTGAGCTCTTCTAAGCTGGCACCAAGAGACAGATTTGAGGAATCCACAAAGAACTGATGGATGCTTTCAGGAGATGGAGGAATAAGGTTAGAAAAATGTCCTTTAAAGGCAGCTGGAGCTGAAATGCCTGTAAACCGAAAATAGCAAAGAGAAAATGAGTTGTTGAGAATTCCATTACTGAGGCACCAATAGGCCTGTTTGGTTAATTCTAGGACGCAGAGATGTTCTCTTTCCTCTAACTAGTGAGCAATGCAAATGGAAGAGTTGACTGGAAATCTCGTTCTGATTCTGCTTCAGACATGAGGGTTCTAAGGAATGTCAGCAAGACTACTTCTCTTTTAATTAGAAGAAAAGCAGCATGCAAAATTTTCTATTAAGATATGCTAACAGAGATTGAAAAAATAAAAACCATGTGAATCATCATGTGATTTGGGGTAACTGTATCCTGATTTAAGTGAATGCATCAAAAAACACTGGTTGAAAGATAAATGACCTGCAGAAAAAAAAAGATCTCTTTATAAACCAAAAATGATATACTACACATGTCTTGGGTAGTAGAAGAGTAGCTATTTACAGTACACTCTTCTATGTATAGTAATACACAATACTTACCCTGTCATGTAGTGTCCAACCAACATATTTTAAATAGCTATCATTCAGGAAGGCATCACTGTACATTTTCATCCAGACACCAATTTCTTCAATACAGACAGCTCTAATCTCAGCAATAGCATCACTAGCAAGAAAAAAAAAAAAGTTAACCAGATTACAGACACGTACCATTTACCTCATTTACTCATTTCCACTGCTGTAGCTATAATATTTTGCCTTTACTTGGGTTTGATGAACTTCACTATATAGGGCTTGTCACTATGTAGTGCTCACTCATGATCTATCTCATCATCTCAATCTCTCTACATTCAGATACGTTTCCATTATCTCAAAAAAAATCTCATTCTATTTTGCCTCTTAGTCTATTACTTGACCTTTTCCTTCCCTCTTTTCAAACAGAATTATGAATCCAAGTGCTACAGACTTCCTCTCAATAATTATTTCTGAAACACTGTCACTGTGATTTTCTAAGCAGGCTTGACTTCAGTTTCCAGCTAGAGATGCAGAATAAGTGCAAGATGGAGAAAGTTACTTGGTTTTACCAAAGGAGCTTGTCAAAGAGGAAAAACGGAATTTGTTATGTCAGCAGAACCTGCTTCATGCAGCATATGAAAGCCCTTGGAACAAAAGCCAGGAAAAATGTTTATATGTCAACATTAGTTTCTTCAATTTTTCTTGCCTTTTTTTTTTTCCTACATTCTGACTGTGGCAAGTGATGGAAGAGGCAAAGACAGACTTATGAGCTTCTTACTTAGGTAACGGAGCAGGAAACTGTCTGGAGAGATCACCTAAAGAGATCAGGAATGGAAATGACTTGAATCTGATTGGCACTTCCCTGCCTGATTGACATAGAGCATGGCATATTTACTAATAATGAACGACAGCTAAACAACGGGAAAAGGGATTGGGGCCATCTGGCCCTTTAGTAATTTCATCTCTGAGACATCTGTTACTATGAGAAATTGCTTGTGCCACTCCAGCTGGCACTGCTTCACAGTTCCAAATTTCAGCAGTAATAAAAGAAGAACATAGAGAGCCACAGCACAGAAGAAGGGAATGGTGCTTTGCAAACACTGGCCTTGCTTATAACTGAGACCCTTGTTTTGTGCTTTTGTTTTGTTTTTTTAAAAAACAAAAACAAAAACCTTTGGGAACAGTAATAAATATTGATTTCATTCTAAAGTTGCACCAGCAGAGCTCCCCCCAATCTAATTTATGAAAAAAATAAATTTCAAGCTTTAAGCAGTAGAATAATTGCTAAGTGCAACTGTATTTTTCCTAAAGTCTTCAGTTTTACAAAATGTAAATAAAATGTTCCCAATCTTATGCTCAAGATATTTATTGCATAAATTCACAGAATATAGTATAACAAAACTGCTATCCTATCCATACTGTAACTGCCTATGTCCTTCCAACCTTCACATTGGAAGACTCTGTATCATCTTCCAGGCACCAAGGTGAAAACCACAATTCCCACACGGACATAACAAACAATCATAATATGACACGTGACTAGAAGAGACATTTCTGAAGTCAGTTCTCTGTTTTTCTCATTAAACTTCTTATTACGGAGGAGACTGTACCAATATAACAGAATAAAACATGCATTTAAAGATAACGTATGAATGCATTTGCGGAATTTCTAGACATGTCATCAAATCACTGTTGTTGTCTCTCTATCCAAAGTGAAACACACTGATTCTACCAACTTCCAAACAGAGTCATTAAAACTGGTCTGTCAAACTCCCTGAAGACAGTTATGCTATAACCTCAAAAACTAGAAGGTAACTGTCAATCCACCATGTAGACAAGGTGCATTACAAGCAGGGTAAGTCATTAAATAAGCCGTTCCTACCAGGGAATTCTCAAACAGGTTTTAGATGCTGTAAGGATGAATGCGCTAAAATGATACATTAAAGGGTTTGCACTACAAAAATTGCATTTGTTTTGGGGAATGCAGACACAATGAAGTTTTAATTACAATTACACATATATTCACATATATATGTATATACATATATACTTTTGTCTAACTCTATATTAATTCACACTAAACTAAAATAGTAAATCTCTTAAATAGAATTATAACTATTTTAAAAGCAAAATCTGGAATCAGAATTCAAGACAAACAGCAATCTGTAAGTCTGCTAAGTATGAAACAAAAAAAGGAGCAACCACATATGCAGCCACAAAAAGTAGCCATATAGACATTTCTTCTAGGGGATGACAGGCTGAGTCCTCAGATCCAAGTAGGTTATTTCAACACCTTATAAATTTGGTAACTGTGAAGCATTTTGGAAGGATTTAATGGCAATCCCAAGAAGAACTCAAGTGTCAACAGCTATTTAATCATGCAACACAGCCAGCCAAAATCAGGAAAAATTATCTTTTCTGTAAGAATACATTCAACATTCCCTGGGCAGACAATGAAAAACTGATTCTCAATCCAAAGATTCTCAGGAATCCCTAGACACTACAAACATTCACTTCAAGAGAGAAAGACAGACACAAAGTATAAAGCTATTAAACTAATTATGAGATTTAGTATATATACTCTGAGCTTCTGTACAGCACAAATTGCAAAATACTGTGTATGAGTGAGGTGAATGGGAAACACTCAGACTTCTATTTGCAGCAAAATTCATAACCTATGTTCCTACTTTTAGTAAAGATGTCCCCCACGATGGAACCTTCTGAAGAGTTTTGGACATGGAGGATCAGATAAGAAGTTCACCGGCCTCTTTTAAATGTTGATTTACCAAGGCAGGCCCATTAAATTTAGGACAAACCATAGCAAGCACTGGCAGGAAACAGCATTTATTTCATGCTAGATTACATCTCAATATTTTCATCAGGGCCAAAAATTTTTAGGACACTGAAACAGAGTCTATAATGGATAACTGGGATATGTCCAGTGGACACAGGTATGCTTCTCAGCCTCTTGCTACAGTGGCTGTCCGTTGTACCTTCTGGGCTCTCTCAGTCCATTTGATTAGCAGCTGAGGTTAATCAAGACCAAAGCTGAAGGTAATATAAGCTGACCTTGTTAAACTGCACTGATGTTAAGAGACATGCTCCAACTCCTCTGTGCTGTTCAGTCACACATTTCCTACCACAGGCCTCTTCCAAATTTTCCTGCACACCTTTCTCCACACTTACAATTATCTCTCAGCCCCACTACAGGTTCCTTTTCACATTCTAACCCTCCTCCCGAACAACTTCTTCTTGCTTCCTGCCATTTGTCTAAAAGATTTCATACATGATGATGTTTTAAACCAGAACTGAAATCTAAAAGGTTAATTGCATAGTTTAGTATTGTTGAATTTTATCTTTTGACTTCGATAAGCTAATTAACATTTAAAGAGTTGGTTCACCAAGATGCTGCAGATGCTTAGAGGTATTTAGTGATGCAAAACAACCCTAAATCTGTCTTTAAAAACTACTGGTCTCTGATAAGCCACGCTCCAAAATAGCATGCATCCGTATCTACTAGAATAGAGTGCACACACATGCACATAAACACATGCACATGAATATATAACCTGATGAGTTTTTCTATTTACAAGACATATAATAATAACTATTGAAAGAAAATTGTGATGTGTTAACAGTGCAATCACTTCTTTACTTTTTTGCAATTACTTGTTCTTGATATAAACATCCAAAACAATTAACAAGCAAAAGCTACGTGTTAAGTGGAATTAAGGTTTTTGTGTGCCTTTATGCAGTTTAAAGAGGAAAACGCCTAAAATAATGTTACAGTTGTGGTCAATGTGTATTATTATGGAAAACATCAGAAATTTGTTGTTTATGCATAAGATATACAGAAGAAAATGCAGTATAGAGAGATACCCAACAACCCAAACTGCCCTATTATGATATACAGCGATCATGATTACATTACTATGTGATGTTTATGCTCCCACTGTGGACAACTTTTCTTTTTCGAGAGAAGAAGTTGTCTTCCACAACTCCTTAAAGCTGTTTTACTGAATTAAAAATGGTAATAAAAAAAGCTGTGTAGACAGATCTATTGGGCAATTACTGGGGGTTACACTTAGATTTTCTTCTAGAACTTCAGTTATTTTGATACTGCTTTTATGGTATCCAGAACATTACATCAGAAGAAAAATCAACATAGAAAATGTCCTTGGCATTATTTGTGATTACACTTTGCTAACATAGTATACTGTAGCACTTATTTTCTTACCGGTATCTATGAACAAATATACCCTTAAAAATAGAGTTCATCATATTTTCGATTTCATCTTGGTTTTCTTGTAGCTGAAAAAAAAAATAAATAAAAGATCACTGCTCATTATAATTTGATATTCTACAATTCCTTACTGAGAAGCGCTAGAAGGACCACGGAACAGCTCTTAATTAATTATTAGTAAATTCCCCATTTTCTGTTTTTCCAGCACATGCTTCTATTGTGTGCAGACACATACGTGTGTATACATATATATGCAATGCCTTAATGTAAGAAAGTTAAAATTCTCTATAAACATCAATTAATTTAGTACCCAATTAGTCTTTTGAGGTCATTACTGTTCTTTTGCTATAGAAATTCAGGCACGTAGAAGCTACGTGCTCAGTAATATCAGCAGTCCACTAGTCAAACAGACAGAACTGCAAATGGCAACTGAAGAAACGAAGCCTGTTACTGAAAGAAGCAGCTACAGACCAGGAAGTCACCCTGTAAAACTCAACATCCTACTTAAGGAAAGTACTTCTGCACGTGCTCAATCTCAAATATATATTTAAGTTGCTTTAACTTCAGCGCCCATGATAACCGAAACTCTGAGCAAGAAGGCTTTCCAGAATCAGAGCATGGGTGCATACCACCAGAGCACAGCTGACACCCAGTTCCAGGCCTCAGATTGCAAAAAAATCAAACCGAACCAAACATCGAACCTAAATAAAAAAGGTCCTACAAGTAGTAGGAGTGCTTTAAAAACATCCCTTAATAGTTCCTCTGTAATATGACTGCACTTTATAAGTACTACAGAAAGTTTACTTTGTGTCAGTGGATATGTTAATAAATCCTGAAAGAACATCTTGGAAACAACTGAAGTATTCTCATATTGTCATCTTTTGTGCTAAATTAAATAAAGATGACTCGATTACAGCAAAACTCAGTTTTGTTAAATAAGATGATGCCAATTTTATACAATCAACTTTTGGAACAGAACTGCTACAACACTCGAAGCCATCATTCTTCCTTCAAGGTGTTTCTTAGTGTCAAAGCAGAATACCACAATATATGTTAATATAACATCTTCATATTTTCAGCATGAAAACCACAACAGAGCCTTGCTAGTACAGACTGTATGTATGAACAAAACAATAAGAACTGTGTAATCATACATTTAACAGACAAATTATCTTAAAGCCAGAGGCAAAATTATTATCAGGCTGTTTTGTCTTCCTGCATAACATGAGCTCATAAACACTTTCACCTAAGGGTTTATATTTTTCAAGCCATGTTTATAAATATTTCTACAATACCTTCCAGAAAAGATCTAAAGTAGCTTGCAATATTCAGTAAGTGAAGTCTCAAAGCTTCCTACAATGTAGGGAGGTGCAGCCTCCATTTTGCAAATGGAAAAACTGAGGCATGGGGGGATCCTGACTAAACTGTCAAACACCTGAGAAAGAAATAAATTTACTAGTAAAAGGGATTGTGTACAAAGAGAGGAATTGGGTGCATGCCAGCACTGCGTATACCGAAGGCTTGGTACACTAAACAAGCATATTTAGGCATGGCTTCTGTTTTCAGTTTAAGCTCAACACAAATATGCACAGAATAAATACTCAATCAAGAATTTATATAATGCAAAAGAGAGAGTGAATTTCTAATCACTCCTCAGTTGTCTGATGTCACAAGCTGGCAAACGTCCCCAGAGACACGGGGCTAGTACGCACTATGGAATAAACTGACAATGGGAATGAACCAAGAAGCCCCAGGAGGATGTTTGAAAACCTACTGAGGCCCTGAAAGGCAAAGGGGAAGCTCCCTGAGAACTTCAGGTATGACAGAGGTGGACAGAGGTAGGAGAGAGTGAAGTTTATGAGCCATGAAAAGGTTAAGATGCTAAACGAAAGTGTACTTTGACATATCTTTGAATGCAAAATCGAGCAGCTACAAAGACTAAAGCACAGATGAGGGGACAGCACGGATGGCTAACTCTCTCCTCCTTTTTCTACAAGGAATCTACAGCTCCCTATTAATATGGTAAATTATCAGCTATACAGCTGATACAGGGATCCAGGTGTTGGGGCAGAGCTGGTGTAGGAGAATCAGAGTTTTCGTAGTTCCAGGTGAAATCCATTTTACTTCAGTGAGCATAAACTGGCCAAGAGATACCGTTCTGAGCTATTTAAAGATCAAAAGTACTTTGTTGACATTTATGAATTATTTTCCATCTCCCAGCCACAAACCAAGGCACTGGTATAAATAAATGAAAGTCAGCATCAGCATTATTAGTGCCAGCTCTTGTCAGCTCATGTACAAACGTGTCACTTATCACTAAGATAATGTTAACTTCAACAGAGGTGGGGTGTTCACAGAAGACTCTCCATCTGCTTAATTCCTATAGAATCTTTTTTCACTAATATTTAAGAGATGCAATATCCACATGTATTTCAGCTTCAATAATGAATTAACACCTCTTTCACAAATTTGATGTTTCTCTGTAACAGTTTTTTACACTTTCAACTTTTCTAGATCATGTACTTCAATCTGAATGCTTAACTTCAGGCATTTGGACAGGGAACTGCCTTTGGATTCCCGCTCTTACCAATGCTAAAGAAATTTAACATTCCCCCCCTCAAATCTAAGTAAAAACAAGGAGAACATTCTCCTGTTGACTTTGCAGAAATACTGGGTAACTCAAAAAGACATGTATGAGAAGCATAAAATTTGAAGTACTACTGGCAGCAACTAAAACAGAACTTTTTCTATTTTGGGGCTTACTGCAGTACAAAAATCATCCAGTTTGAAAAGCTCACTGACTAGAACAGACCATTAATCTGCTCTCACATTAGATATGTAGAAGATGACACAAGAATGAAACCAGTTAGAAAAAGCATGCTGTACTTTCAACTTCTAATTAATTCCCACACTTAGCTTGCAAACTGGCCTATGTAACTTCATGAGGATAAACACATGCTGATGTAGGTGCTTATGAAGTTTTATTATGATGGCACTGCATCGAAAGAATCAACTGAACATGCCATCACTGAATGCTATTGTAAATTTAGGGTATTTAAAAACAGGAAATAAACAGTACTATCTTAGGAATACTTACACGGGGCCATTATGCCATTTCAACCTAAGGAAGCTATTTTATGCGGTTTCCTCTGCTATGCTTACCACCACACATCTGAGAACGTGTTCAGTCATCACCACTTCTCCCTGGCTTACACCTATGCAACATTTTGATTAGTTTTCATGTGTGGTGGTATGAGAGAGACTGAACATACATGCCAAGAAGTGAAGGCTGCCAAATGCTTAACCTTTATTCTTCGTTCAGGGTTTCACTGCCCCATGTTGGCCTGGGCATCAATGCTTCAAAGCCTGCCCAGAGCAATTATATACTGCATCTCCAAAAGACATTGAAAAGAACAGCTGAAGAACAAGTAAAGGAGATGTCCACAGACACTGAGATACTGAACCAAGTTCTTCAATGTAAATAGCTACTTGTCCTTCTTTGAAAAATTCAAGCAACCATTAACAAGTGTGGAATAGAAACTGTGTTCTAGCTATTTTAGCTAAGCAATTCTGCTTTTCCAAATGCTTTAACACTGACATGTTTCCTTTAAAATACATGTATTTTCCTTGCAGTTAGGGCATGAGAGGTGGTTCTTGCTTTGTGTATTATTACATTGTGTGCTATATTCTAATAATTATAAAATCCAGCAAAACTTTTGATATGGATCGCAGGGGTAAAATACAAAAAAAATACATCATTGTAATTATCCCCAGACTAGGACTATAAAGTCAAGCAATTTAAAGTCAGTTATACATAAAAGAATCCAAGGTGCACACAGGTAAGGCAGACAGACATCCTTAATTTGCCACAGAGTAAAGCAGTGGTGGAGGAAATGTATTCAAAACGAATATATTAAAAATGATAAATTTAAATCTAAGTCATTATCTCCATATATACTACAATCTCAATATATACTTGAATTCTTCAATCAGTCTTATGAATTTTGCATGGTATCCTTAAAGATTATGTATGTTTGTGTGTATTAGGTATCCACTTTCTACTTCTTATCATTTTTAGATTTCTTTTAAGTACAACTCTAAAACTGCATTTCCTGGGACACGGTATTTTATTTAGGGATCATTACAGCAACCTTCTAAGGGTTTTGCTCACCTAATGCCGGACTGGTACTTACTAAAAGTGACTTTAATGTCTTCCTAGCTTCTTCTCCCTGAGACCAGGTGCTATAGCCCCTACTCCCATGTTACTTGTAAGTAGCTACAAAAAGAAGTACTAATGAGACACTACGTAGTAACTGCAGTAATCAATGGGAGAAACGGGCAGCATGATGATGGACTACATGAGACTCTCTTTTCAAAATCTTTCTGTGTAACCATAGTAATGTTCATACACAACTTGAGACTAGTTTTCTTCTTGCCTGGTCATGTGTATAAAACTGAGAACAGTAATTATCTTCTGTGCAGAACAGCACACAAACTCAAGTGCATGTAATAATACAAAATTTTAAAGTGCAGCCCTAGTAACATGCTTGAGATCACACGAACACCACAGCAGAAGTAATCTCTCATTTCTTAACTGTGGTACTAAAATCACAAACCACCCTGGACTTTCTGATGGAGGTCGTGCACATGTACCAGGAAAAAAAATCATCTTTTCACTTGCCTCTTTTCTTTTCTGAAGCAGCAGCTCCAATCTTTCATTAGCTCTTTTGCCAATCATTTTGTTTCTCTCAGCTTCGTACTGCCTCTGTGTATTATCCTGATGAATGCTCAGGTTTAAGGCAACATTCACAAGAGCAGTCATAAGCTTCATAGCTGCAAAAGCAGAACACAGAATATGACTCTTTACCTGTAGTCAGAGCTCAAAAATATTGCCTCAAGCAGATCCACACGCAGAGAAAATAACCAACTTGACCCTGGCACAGAACCACTTCGACAGCCACTTCCCACCCCAAAAATACCCAGATAATTTGGCTGACCTAAAAATCAGAAATCAGAGTACACATATAACATCGAGCTCCAGACAGCTCCCTTCTCTCCAGAAAATATGCAACTTCTAATGTCAGAGCAAGCACGTGAACCCACAGGATCAGTGCACACCATTAAGCCAGTTATGTGCAGTTACAGACATTTCTCTGTCGAGAAATATCATTATAGATGCCTCCACACTAAAGGTAACCAGTAACTTCTGAAGATTAGTCAGTTTGGAAGGGACCAGAACATTGTTTCTCTGAAAGAAAAGTCTGACCCTGCTCTAAAGTCAAGTGTATAATTGCATAAAAAATATGATTTGAACTTCATGTGCCCCTTTATACACATTTTCAAACCTTCTGGATCTATTATTGTTTATGCATATTTTTCTGTCTTAATTTAGTTTTACAAAAACATTTCTAAGTGTCTTTCCCATGTTCGGTGTGGTTACATAGAATATCACAATTTACAACACTGAAAACAGCAAAAGAAATTCATCGATCAATCACATTTTCTCTGGCTAAGTACGCAGCATTGTCCTCAAGTTCAAAAAGCAATTATACAAATGGAGAAGTGAAGCTACTCTTATAGTTAACTTTGTCTTATCTTGCTATTGCTTAAAGTTTGCAAACCTAGAAGTACCCACGTCTTCTTCCCTTAGTTTCTTGCCATAATGAATAATTTATCATTCAGATTGGCTAGCATGGATGAAAACTGAAAACAAAGACCTCAGAAACACTCCTTGAAAAATAGATTAAATTCTAAAAGTACGTTTTCATAATTTTTATCAAGACTGAGCTTCCTTGCATCATGCTGACTTCTGCTCTGCAGAGTAGCAGTATAATGAAATGTGCAAAAGCTAGCCTGAAGAAAATTTGCAGAATCAAAACAAAGCTCTCATGTTTGTTAATAAATAAAAATAATTAAGTGTATGGCAAAATCAATCGATCTAATGGAAAAAGCCATCAGTGCCTTAAATAATGGAAGCCAGTTGTCAAAAACTTAGGCCTTGTCATTTGCTCATCCTTGCTTGCAGGGTGTAGTTACATGATAGAAACTATTTCCTCTACAAAGCATGGTTCCTGGGTCATGTTTCTAGTGCATGGGGCTGTTTCCTCTTCCAATCAAGCTTCTCATACTTTTCGAACATCTGTCCCACAAAGGGGTGAACCAATCAAAATAATGGTCTAAGATGTGTATTATTATTATCCTAACTCCACAATCTCTTTCCTATAAAACAATCAATCATAAACTAAGCAAAAAGCAAATCAAAATCACCTGGAATTGAAGATCAGTATCCAGTATAAACTGGAAAGAAATTGTTTCCATCTCTGATTAAGTAACTGGCACAGATTCCCAACAGGTTCTTTATATCCAGCTCAAGTAGTGTTTACTTTTGAAGACTGAATTTGTAGAGGCAAACTCTCAATGTGGTCAATTATGTCTGAATTATTCAAGGTTTATTATTATTATTATTATTATTATTATTATTATTATTATTATTATTATTATTATTATTATTATTATTATTATTATCATTTTATTTTATTTTACCACTCCCAGTTACCAAATAAAGTGAAGGATACAAGGGGATTTCAAAATAGAGTTCAGTTCCTCTAAGTTCAAGGTTTTGATTTTCAGTTTGAAAATCAAGCTCCATTCACATCTGGACTTGGTTTCTCAAAATCACTGGTAATCCACCTCTTAGATTAGTGAGAGATGAAATTAAAAAAATAAGTCTGATTTCCACTATGAGTGTTGAATACTTGGAAACCTGAACAAAACTGTAAGAGGCTGACTGCGAAAACTAACTACATCAGTGAAAAATAACAGCAGCAAAAATATTCAGATTAATGACAAACATCTCCTATAAAAGCTTCACATATTTGATATGATCTAGAAATGGTCCAGAGAAAAGTCTTCCAATAAGATGCATTTCAGCACATGAGGTCAGTAGGACATTACCTGATGGAACTAGTGTTAGATACCTGCATCGAAGCTAGTAATCCTGGTATTGCTTTATAATTGGAGAAAGACAGCTACTTTTACACAGCAATTCATCCATATTATGGGAGACATCTAATATAGGTCAGATGATATACACTCTTAGAAAAGTCTATTTCTATCTAGTGATATAATCATTGCCTGACTTAAACGTAGGCAGGTGTGTTGAAAGGTGCAGCATGGCCAGAGGTAGAAGACAGAGCGACGTAGAATATGGCCCAATGTTCCCAAATTTTATGCTTCTCAAGAGTGAAGACAGATTTCTATTGACACTTAGAATAAGTTTTGTACTCTAAAATGCCAAATTATAAAGGCATGCTAACCAACAAATGAACTAATAAAGAAACACATGACTTAAGTATGCCACTTTTGATTCACAGGATTTACTGGAGTCCCCTGTGAGGCTTAGACGTACTCCCTTCCAAAAGGAAAAGTGTATTGTCAGTAAAGTTATACCATGTGTGTTAATTGGATTTGATAAAGCTTTCCAGAGTTTTCAGGACTTGCCAAATTCCACCTATATCAAAACTAGCAGTAATTCTCAAACCAACTAACCTGTAGTAACTCTTTTGAAAACTCCCTTCTTTGTGCTTTGTTTACTTACCAGCTAACGTACTGGTGTGCCTGAAAGCCCGGACCTGGGAATCTGACAAACCAGTCAGAAGAGAAATCACTGTGTCCATCATGTATTCATCATAGATGATGCTATACTGACACTGTCGAATGAGCACTCCAATGAACTCACAAAAATTGGATCGAAACTTCTTCCACTGTGGCCCAGGCATGGTAAGTGGGTAATCACCACTGTCCTGAAAAACGAGAAAATGAGCATACTAAGTAAATACAGACCAAGTTTCTAAGTTAAACAGTATCTTTTTCCTCCTAGCTAATGGAAAACATCCAGAAAAAACAATTTATTCTTCAATAAACAAAGAAACTTGTTGGCATGAAAACCCTTTTTGAGAGATTTGATTGTAATTTTTCTATACTTGCATTCTTATCTCTGCATAGTCCAAAATATGCATCCAGACTCAATTATTTTTCTTATGTCCTGGGTTAGGAAATGCAGATAAAGGATAAGCAAGGCACATTTCAAAGTATTTAAGATCAAAATCTAAAGAAATTCTTGCGTGATTGAAGGGTTGTATCATTTTCCACTCCCCACCTTCCATCCCATGTTAATATTCTAATCATCTGTCTGCCTCTCCCCACAAACTCTGCTTTATTCAAGTTTGCAGTTGAGATCTTATCAGAAAGTAATGATTGCCCTTTTGTGATCTGATAAGCTTACCCTTTTTCTAGTGGTTAAACCTACCTTCTAATAGATGCAATAGACTTTTTTTTCAAGTTTAATTCCTCTCCAAGACTAATTTCTCACTATTCTTCCTTCAAGCAACCAAGCAATCTCAGTGAGGCTGCCCCCGCCGATTAGAAAACACAAGCCAATTCCATATTATCCAAAAGATCAAGGCAATTTTCAATTTTCCATCTTGAATCTCTCCCCCAAAATAGGAAATCAGCAGCATAAAGGTTAAATCTATCTGTACATATTTATTCTGTTTTTGGGAAGAACAAGTTATTTCTATTACCTTAGGTCTTGTCTTACTGCACAGGCTAACCCTTGTAAAGCCAGTAACTTAAGAGCAGAGGAGCTCTAATCAAATATGCTTTAACCTATACTTAACACAAGATACTCCACTGCACAAACCAAAAAACGTACCAATTTTAACTAAATCACACATTCCAACCATACTAAAATGATTTAAATGATTTAAAATACCAAGACAAGCATTTAAATGTTAGAAAAATACAAAACTGTAAGGCAGTCATAGTGACCCATAGTTTCTCTTTCATTACTATGCTGAGTAACAAACATTACCTTAACAAACACTATTTTTCCTTCTAACTTTGAATACCCAATTTGAGAGAAACAAGACCTTTGTTAAAAAAAATAAATAAATCAGAGTTTTCACGCTCCTGATACAGAAATCTTAGCATGTTCAATTGTAGCTGTGAGTTCTAAGAACTTTTGTAAATCAGACCAAAGTGTTTGATATTAAAAATCAGATAAACAGCAACATCATTAACCGTGTCGTGTGTTTTTAAGTGTTCTTTTTATTTCTTAAACAGTCTGTTTATGCCTAATGTTTATTTGTGAATTTCAGCAAGGCACAGTGTCTTGCCGTCTAAATATGAGCCCTGTATTAGGCTTTTAATTATATAAATTTAGTACTGAAATTAAAATGCTGAAGGCTTCTCTTCAATTTGCCTGGCAGTAACCCATATGAACACCCCAGAATTCTTTTACCCTTTTCTTCTTCCTGCTTGTACCTTTATCTTCACAAATAACCTCCAGATTAATTCTCTGCCTCCAGAGCACCTGTAGGAACTCTGTATGTGAGCTTACATAAATATTATATGCTTTCTAGATGTATGGATATGTAACCTGTAGAACAGAACTGCAGGACCTCTAGTGCTGTGCAAAACTACTCATATTTGTATGACGTATTCGTAACCCACAGTTACATATTAGATGGTCCTTTTGAAAAGTATGTGAAGACTGCTCAGAGAACATCTCATCTTCTGAAACTGGAAGAATAAATCGCCAATAAAGCTAGTTTGCTGGATCATTTATTTCTGAATACCAATAAAAACGTGGCATGTTGGTGATACCAATATATGTGATACCTGATGGTACAACTGTTAGAAAACTGAAACCAAACCAATTTATTGCTCATCTGCTACTGTAGCCCAAGAATTATGAGGGAATTTGTCTATGAAACGCCTGTGCTAATAAGCCAAGCATCCAAACAGTGCAGCAGAAAAGGCTTCTCTGCGGAATTCCCCATTTCAATCTGAACTGGTAGCAGCAATGAATGAAGCTATTTCCATCATTTCCAAGTCCTGTGCAAGTGTTCTTCTGTTCATAATAAGAACAATTAATGGTCCAATCCCTGCTGCAAATACAGAAATCAGGACCAACAGCCAGCTGACTACTGCAGCACTGGAAGAACAATGAAATATCTTAGAAAAAATAAAGGAAGCTGCAAAACTGAACATCTACAATGGAGATTAAGATGTTTTCTGGGCACCATACTGTGCTAGTGAATACACAATGCAAAATTTTACTCTAGCTATTACTACACTTTTACCATTTTCTCCTAATAACTCTAGGGTTGTAGAATATATTTATCAAGTCACAAATACAAAAAAGACATTTTATACCACCTACACACATGTACCAGTGAGCACTAGCCCCTTTCAACTCCAATCTGATACACCAGACCTGGCATTTTAGGTACAGGGAGGAAAATATGATACAGAAGTGGATTGCCTCCCTCTGAAAATGACAAGTCTAAAGATGACAATGAAGGTGGCAGCAGCCCTAAGCATCTGCCTTGTCTCAGGATGACACAGGGGAGATGGACATCGGGATTTGGGAGTTCTGGGGTAACAGAACAGGTACTACAGGTAAAATGCCAACAACAGTGGTATTTAGAATGAAGAATCAAGAGGGCTGTTGGTCATCTGTGTAAAAAATGCTGACACTTTACTGAGATAATATATGACCACCTGACCCAGCTTCCAACGTTGAACTCTTTCTGGCTCCCGTTTTTTCACTGCTTATTATAGAATTGGCAATAATAATAATAAAAAAAACAACACACACAAAACCAAAAAGAAACAAACAAACAAAAAGAAACAAAAACAACAAAAATAAACAGTGGCTCAAGGAAGCTGTCTAGTCAGTCTACCTGGCATCAGGGAGCACAGCCAATAGCACTGCTGAAAGGAGGAAAGAAGTAGACCTGCCTAAGCTTTCTTATTTCTCCAGCAAGTAAAGAAGGGCCGGGGGGTGGGAAGGATCAAGACAATCTGCCAAATCTAGCCTGAGCCACCTTTAGTCAAAGGACTGTCACTAGCAAATGGTGTCTGCAACCACCAGCTACTTACTAGCTATTATTCAGGCAGTTGGAATAGGTAATCCTTAAAGATCCCTTCCAGCTAACTATTCCATTATCTATTACACAGCCCTCCCAGAAACAAATGACTGTTGTTCATAATGAAGTGGTAAATACAAACCAAAGGGCCAAGAACTTGACTAATGCCAAGCTAATCACAGTTGTAATTTTAAAATCTGGTGAAGGCTAAGAAAGACTTTTTGTTTCATTATATATTTTACCCTGAACACTAATGGAAGCTGCTCTCATTCTGTAACTTTATATTTTGGCTGGTCTTTTTTCATGACGTATGATATCCTGCTATGCAGAGAACATTCTGAAACACTATGATTAGTAAAATGAACAAATGGCTTGTATAACAATTATAAACTCACCGTGCTGCAATCACAGGATATACGAACATCACCAATCACAGGATATACGAACATCACCAACTGCACCAAATTTTAAAATGTTTTCCACTGCTAACAGGGCATGTGTTTATTCCAGATTTCAAAATGTTCACTGGGTTGCGGTCTAAGGCTAACAATTTCATGCTTTAATACTAAAACCTACAAATTCTTTCATATACGTACTCAAATGTTAAGGCAGAAGACTAAATGGAAGCTTTCTGTTAGAACTGCAGAAGTTCAGAAAAATTTTAACGAATGGAAAAAGAAAGTTTATGCACTAGTAACTGTAATTCTTTGCAATATTTTGCTTACATGTACATTCCCACCATGCATAAACACATAAGGGAGAGACTTTTTCCTCTACCTCCCTCTTTGTTTCTGACATAATCTCTTCCTGCCCTCCCAGGATGATCATACTTGGCAAAAAGAACTGAATCCTAATCACAGAAATAAAATTCATCTGCATTTGTTCCTAAATTTTCCAAGACAGCTGCACGTTTTCATTGAAAGAAAGAGGCTCTTTTTCTATAGCAGCAAGATCAGACTTTTTATAATTGTACTTTTCATGCAGAGATGCTAGGGAACAGCCAGAATTGTACAGGATCTGTCAACAGGAAACCTGGCCAGAGATCAATCCCTGTTGGTGTGGATGCCCCAGCAAGGCCAATCCACCTCTTTATCTTCTCTGAAAAATGCTTCTGTTCTGAATACTTACTTGGAAAATACGTGCAGTTGTGTTTCTAACTTTACCAGATATCAAACACTTGTAAAAACACAGAGCACTGATGTGATATTTGGCAGAAGCTGTCTGATAGTATCTAAGATCTGCCACAGGATGGTCTCATCTACATGGAGAGTATCTCACAGAACACACAAAGTAAATGTTTTGTAGGAGCAGAGCAATGTTCATATCGTCAGTTTTCTTGCTTAATTTTTTGAATCACAGCCTTGACATTCTATCTAGAATTGGTCAGAAAAAGACTGCCGCCCTACAAAAAATTTGCGTTTCAAATGTTCGTTTTCCTTACTAAGCAAACTGAACATTAAGAATATTTTTATACAAGAAAAATCAAAGGAATTACAGTTGTAAAATCTCAAAGCTAAAAATTGTTCATTAGGAAAACTTTTATTTTGACAGAAGATACCCAATCTGAACTGTAATATGTTTGTTTCAAACAAAATGTTTCTATCTTTTGAAAGAGAGATTTCTTTTTGTAACACTTCCAAAATGATAACTTTCATGTCAAGTTTGGTTTAAGTTGCCAATTCAAATGAACAAAACATAAATTTGCACATAGAAAACAGACTGGAATGCTGCAAATGCCAAGCCTGCAGTCCTGTGTCAAGAATCCAGAGTTCTGTGTCGCATGATGGCAGTTTCAAGTAGTCAACTACAGCGTCCAACATACCACCACCAACTGAAGTTAGATGAGAAAATTTTCTACTGTTCTTCTTACTGCTTCCTCTTATTAATCCCTCTAAAACAGTCATCTCTACTACCCAAGATATGAGCTGACAAGAATATTCCTAAAATCATTCAAAGGTACAAGATTCTGTATGAAGGACTACCACGGACCCAAGCTAGTTCTTGCAGCCACATGTGGCTAGGCTCTCTCATAGGCATGTAGGTGTGGTGCTAAGGAACATGGTTTAGTGTTAGACTTGGCATTGTTAGCTTAAAGGTTGGACTTGGTATCTTAGAGGTCTTTTCCAGTTTAAATGATTCTGTGATTCTATAGCTTGCTTGATGCAAGCTTGCTTCATGCTTTTGTGTGATAGTACACTTACACCCTTCACCTGCTTGGGTCACAAACTTTTCGGTACCGGTATTTCAGCATCCAAGGCCTACTCAATCCACAACATTGATTTTTCAAGATCAGTGGCTAATCAGCCTTTCAAATTATTTCACTACCTTCTGTTTTTCATAATTATTCTTTCTAAAGCTCATGCTGGCCTGTTGATCCTCATCCAATAGTTGAAAATGCTGCTTTGCTTGTCAACATAATTTCTTATACTGAGACATTGCTTATCCACTGGTTTCTTACCCACTGTATGTTTATTTTAAAACAAACGAATACCGTAATGTATTTCATAATGTTTAAAGCACTATTTGTATAACATACCTCATCAAATTCTTCTGTCATTTTCCTTATGATTTCTGCATTTTGCATGTTCCTGAACATTTCAATTCTTACAGTACCTGTAATATAATAAGGGAACAAAAGAAATTAACACAACCCATTTTTCACATCAAAATAACAATCTCAATGTTTTTCTGCTGCTAAATTTACAGCTCAATAATACATATGAAAGAGCATTTAATGTGATTATACAAAAAACACTGAGAAACAATGACTCTTGAAGAGACAAGTAAAACCATCAGAATGGAAGTTAGTAATATTTTCCACCTTTTTACTCTTCACAACTGAGCAAGCATGATAGAGGAGCAACTAAAAACCAATGCAAGACTCACACCATATATGCAGTTACCAAATCTTTTTAATTTTGTATGCAAAATAAAAGTCTTTCAGTTCTATGGCCGTTATTAGTATTTCTCTACTTTTTTATGATTATAGATTACAGATATACCATGACCTCTACATGGAGGCACAGGAGTGGTTTCCAAACTGCTTAACTCAGGACCAGCATGGTTTATTACTAAGCCACAGCACTGTGTGAATGGAGCTCTGTAGACCAGAGCTACCACAATTTCATCGTGTGGTGCTATAGTCAAGACGTCTCTCCAAAACCAAAGGCTCCAAAAGGCTCAGTCAAGATGTGAGCCAGATCAGGACCAAAAGCAGCAACTGCATCTATGTTATTCCTTCATCTTGATTACACCATTTCCCCATCACCTGAACAACGAAGTTTACAGGAATAACTTCTCACTGTACAAAGCTACCAGAACTGAAAATATAATACAATAGCAATTAATGAAAATACATGCAACTTGAATGAAATCACACTTTATATCACATTATTACCTTTAAAACTAAACATTGCCTAAATCTCCAAGCATATAATGCACCATAGGGAATATTTTTTTTTTGTTACTGCATTACATTTTTGCCACTTGACAATTGTCTTTTGTTGAAGGAGGAAACACATAAAACATAAGCAAACTGCAGAACTACAATTCCCATCCCAACCTTGTTAACATTACAAAGAGTAAATCTCCCTAGTTTTGCAAAAATTTCAATTGGATTAGTAATCCACTGCATGGCTTCAAAAACTGGAATCAGAATCATAGAGACTTAACAGCTAACAGTATTAACTCCTGTGCGAAGAATAAAAAAAGATAAGTTAAGCATACTAAATATTGTGGGAATGTTTTTATTACACTATTTTATTCCATGAAAAACAAGCATTAGAAACATATGCATTTCAAAACATGTAAGCATAGTTGCAGCTTTTATCTCTTAGAAGGGATACTGTTTCATAACAGAGCTTAAATTTTGATTTCTATGACTTGTTAGTGCTTCTTTATGAAACACTATTTACTTATCTCTTTCACATTAGGTTAACACTCAAGCTTAGTTCTAACAATGGTGATTTACGTCTGTGCATGGTAATTTGCATATTTTTAATAAGCAATTAGTAATGCATTGTATTGATATAAAACAAGAACCCAAAAGAATACTACTGTATGACCTGAGCTGAAGACCTGTTTTATCAGCTTTGAAATCACCTCTATATGCAGCTATATTTTAAATATTTTGCCCAACAATGAAAGTTTTGTTTTAAATAAGTGAAACAGTTTCAATGTCTCAGCATGTTGGAAAGCCAACAGCTATTCCTAGAAATCCATCTCAACTGCATTAATACCTTTCTCTCATTGCATGCTGTCATCTGTTCTTCTGATTAGTAACAACCCTCACTGAGTACAGAACCTATTGACTTTTATTTTTATAGTCCTGATTCAAATTTTATTAATTCAATTTACTTATTAAATAACTTCTGTACAATATTAACCATGTTACTTTGTATATTTACATTGCACATTGTATATTTACTTCGTATATTTACAATGTATTACCATGTTACTTTGTCAGAAAAAGTAAAAATAGTGCAACTAAAAAGCCTTGTTAATGCATTTCCCTCAATTCAAACCTCCCTTCAATTTAGTGTATTTTAGTGTGGTTCTCTGCACCTTTCCTCCCTGAGGTTATGGAATGCAATTATATTGTGGGCACTATTTGGTGGCTCGGATATTGTTACTTTTTAAATCACCTCCTGCTTTTTTTTAACAGTCAAGTAAAGTAAAATTTTCCTTTGAATGCTTTCTCGAAAGCAATTAGTTTCAAGAGGTAACTGCTTAAAGGACTGCATTTTTTAATTGCATCACTGCAATGCAGACTATTTATGACTAGGTCTATATATCCCTGTTTCTTTAGCAGCTTTGAAGATGCAGAAACAGGGCTCAAAGAAAGCTGATGGCTGGTACCAGAGGCACTCCCCCATGTTACTGTCAGACAACAAATCGGATATCTTGTGCCACAAGGGCAGAAACCTGGAACCTGCCCACTGCACTGGCCCAGGGGAGAGGCTGCAGCCACCGGACTGCAGACCCCAGGCAGCCTCTTCTGACCCATGGGAAGGCTTTTACTGTCCATGACCAGAACTGAGACAGCAACATCCATCTCCTGGGCACCTGAGGATTTCTCCTGACGCTACACAGAGGTGGTCCAGCTGAGGCTCATACAGACTCCACACACACATTTGTCCCAGCTCCCTGGGGGCATGCACAGGATGGAACAAGCTCTCGACATCTCCTGCGGATGCCAGTGTGGACAAGAGCTCACAGAGGTATCAGCAAGTGTTAAGAGGAGCAATGATTGACAGCATTTATCAGCTCACTGTCATGTCTCATTCTTGCTCCCACCTTCTGTGACAAACCACTCTTACTCGAAATCATGCTAAGCAAAATGAGCATTTCTACCTAAGTGGCAACAGGGAACAGCTTAGGCCTGCCTGTTGTCCATCCGTCCGTCCGTCCCTCCTCTCACCCCCAAGAAAAACACAATCCTGTTGAAAATGGTAGTTTTTATAATTAATGAAAAGCTAAACTCTCTGATTTTAAAGTGAATCCTTAAACAGAATTTCTACTAAATCTAACTGAAGGTGCGGACTGTATTCCTACGGCCTGTGCCTTAGCCATGTTGCTACTAGTCTTTTATCCTCCTGTAATTGAATTTTACCTCTATTGTGAAGCTAACTCTTACTATTTAATGCAGATTATTTAAATTATCTTAGCCCATTAATAAACTGAGAGTTCTCAGTTTAAACTTATTCTCCCGCATTGTGTTTTTAAGTCTCCTCATTGACATGTAAGTCTATCTCCTTAGTGACAAATTTCCAATGTAACTTTCAGCTAAAGGCAGCTATCAATTTAATTCATCAGTAATTAATCATGTCAGCCAATGTGGCTTTTTGAAGGGAAAAGAAAAAAACATACAGATGACGCAACATAACCGCAACTACAGAAGAGAGGGACTAAGAAGGTCCACACAAAAATGCATGAATACAATTTAATAAATCTGTGTATAAGACAGAACACACTACTTCCAGGAAATACAGCATACAGCGAACTCAGTGGCTTCAGAAAGTATACTTAAAGTGGGAAGAATAACGAGTTATCAGGGAAAGCCCTGTGAAAGAAAAGTAACAACAAAAAACTAAAAGCTGGCAATTCTGGTAGTTGCAGAAGAAAGGACAGTTTATGTGACAGAAACAAGGCCACTGCAGAAGTGCTACTCTAACAGGCCACAGTTGTGAGCTAACGAAAACAAATTGCTCACTGGTAAAGAGACTCCTGAAAGTTGGTAACACACTATATCCTATGATTCATAGTCAGTTTTAATCTCTGGTACCTTAATTCATAGAAGCTACAAAGCCAATATAATCCCTTCTCTTTTTTACCACTCAGGAAACTGCAAAAAAAGAAGTGAGAAAATTCCAGCTCAAGACTAAAAAGTCAATGGATATAAAATAAGTCCACACTCTCCTGCCAAAGAAGGATTAATTGTGGGACCTTAAATACACGGTGAGTAATTATTAGCTCTCAACCGCACAAACTGGTTAACTGGAAGAAAGATTTATAAAGGCATCAAGTTGAAGACATTAGGAGATTTGCACTGAAAAGTATAATATGAAAAAGGCAATGCACTCTTTTGCATCGGCTCCAAGTCAATAGCTGGGATCAGAGCACTGTGAAATTGTCAAGAGAGGGCAAGTTTAGCAAAGATCTTGCTAGGATGGATGATGATTACAGAATTGCTGTGTGGGCAATATTTCTTTCCCCCAGCATCAGTCCGTGTGTGTTTCCTGTAACTTCCTCCCCCGCTTACTAAAACAGAAATAATCCACTTCCACAATGTCCGTAAAGTGCAGGCTTTAACCATCTGAAAAGCATTAATGACAAAACTCAACAGGAAAGATGACAAAGACTGAGGTGAACATTATTTCTCATGACTTAACCTGGGTCAAAGTATACTCCCGTAAAATTTCATTTACTGTTCCCAGAAGAGAGCAGTTTGAAATGAACCAAAAATTACACACTGGTTAAATATATATATAAATATTTTCTTTTCATGTTACTTGCTTACCATTACATAGAAATATTAAGGTAGATTTGACCTGATTGGAAACAAAAGATATTAATCTAAATGGAAACAGTGTTGGGCTGGTTGCAGAACATCCAAATAGTTGTTGAACATCCTAAATCCCATAAGGGCTCCTAATTTTCCATTAATTTCTCATCTTTAAAACTGAATACATTACTGAACCCAGAAGTCAGGATTCCAGAAGGAAGATACCCTAAATAGTTGAATTTTAACTTCCCCAGCAGACCTAGGAACAGAAGGAGCTTTTACTGACCTATTCCCCGATTATTCCTGTGGCATTCACTTTACGTCGCCCTGCTTCTGTCACAGATGAAGCAGTATTCAAAAGCCATTATCATCCTAAAAGACACAGCCCTAATTCATCCTTAGAACCGCTTTAGACCATGAACTTACTGAATGAATCAGCAAGAATCCCAATGGAAAAAAAAACAAATCACAGTTTCATGCAATTAAAATCTTTTCAACCAGAGAATCGTAGGCAATTATTAGAAAGGATTCTAACAGTTTGTCTATGTTTGTCCTCCTACAAGAAAACAGAAACTGAGTATCTAATGTGTCAGTTCCCCAAATAGATTCG